TGTTTGACCATACAACAGTGAAATTGAAATTTTGGTGACATGATTGATTTTTTGCTCTGCACTTTTAACGTTCTCTGATTTAAGAGTTTAAACAGGCTCCTGCTTTTAAAATTATCAATTTCGTTCTTCGGGTATGTGTGACTCAAAAACGATACAGCGACTATGAAGTTTCATAAAAATTATATTTCCGCTACATCGAATGTGTTTCTGTATCTATAATTTCTATTTCCCAATAGATCTTCATTTGATTTGAGCACCATCTATATTACCTTTTATGTGTTTCATCATTTAAACTTTTCTTTGTTTTTTCTGCAAAAGTTTTCCTGAATTTTTTGTTCATTAAAATAAAATTTTTGAACATCACAGATTTTTCTTTAGAACTGCACAAAAAACTTTTAGAATTGCACGTTTTGTGTAAAACTGCACATTAAAAAAACCCTGCCTTTAAAAGTTTCATAAAGATCGATTTCCGCTATACTTTGTAGTTTTTGGTATGCAAAACTAATCATATAGATCGATCTTCGCGATACTTTGTAGTTTTTGGTTTTTCAAAATTCAATTCAATATTTTCTTAATTTTCTTTTCTTTAATATTTTGCTTCAGCTTCTGAAGTTTTTTAATTCTTTTAAAGATTGTCAAGTGCTCGTCTTATAGCAAATGTGTTGTAAAAGTTTCTTATGAAAAGAAATGCATTGGATTAGGTGAACTAATTTGGAAGTTTTAAAAATTTATGCGCAGAATGCCAATGGGCTTAGTTATATCTCAAATGAACTTCAGTCTTCATCGGTTTACTTCACCTGATAGATGGTTAGGCAATAGAGCTCAAGAAACCAATGAATGAGTCAATTTGGACTCTTTTGGTTAAATTTTTTTTTGACTAGCAGTAGGCCTATTTCGAACCACAATGGAGTATATACATATATTTCCAAGGTTGAAAAACTTTTGATAATTTGTCTGATTTTAAAAATTAAAATAATAATAATATAATGAAACAGACGTTATGTTGAGTTTAGTCTTGTTTTCAAATCTATGCTTTGAGTGTTGGCATTTTAGAGCTTTTTCTCGCCATACCCTCAGTGGCGGCGGCAAGGGGGTATGAGGAGGGGGGTAATTACCCCCCACTTTTTTCAAAACATGGTCTACATATTTCTACTAAAAAAAGATTAAAAAGCACTGCGTAGGGGTAGATCCTATTTCCTAAGGAAAATTAGCCTGGTACAAAGCTCTGAAATGAGGCAAAATGGTCACGCCCATTACCCTCCCATTCTGCAGTAGCTGGCGCTTCCACTTCATACCCTTCTTAATTCTTTCGCACTGGCAGTTTCAAATACACTTCGGGTTGTGTACTTTTTCCACACCTTGCACAGAGAGTTGTTTGTGGCGAAAGTAAAAGTTTTGGTAACAAAAGGTTAACCAAGTAATTCTTTTGTCTCATAAAATATCTATGGTTGCAAATTAAAGACTGTGTTATTGCTTTCGTGTTTTGTGTGATCCAGTTTTTAATGTGCTGCGAATTTTTTATGAATTTGGTTCTTTAAGAACACTAGCTAATATATACCATGTTCGATCTTTAAAATCTTTTTTTGCTTTCTTGTTTGTTATTTCAATTCCATCTAAAAGCAGGATTATGAAAAATTATCGTTTTACTGTTTTTAATTGTTTTCTGATTGCATTACAAATGTACCTAAGTTAATCCTCGATTTATGGAAACCATTTATGGCATTTATTGAAAATCAAAGCTGGCATAAGATAGCACAATATAAAATAAGATAGCACCATCAAAATAACGCATGAAACGTCGCAAAGAAAAGTTTTTTCACCAAATTTACGTTCTCGATAAATTGAGAGGCATTGGTTCTGCAAAAAAGCATTGAGATTAGATACTTTTTTATACGTGTATGCTAAAACGTGTATGAAATTGATCAAGAATATGAATGTTAAAGGACAAAAATATAGATAGATAGAAAGAATGCCAAGAATACCGTTCTGGTTTTTTCTCGTTCCTTAGAAGGTTTTTTATATGGAGATGGAAAGCGATAAATATCAGCAAAGACGTTGTAATTTCAGAAAATGATTTTGTATAAAGAGAGTAGTTTCGATTAGATAAATTGTATAATGATCTGTGTTTCATTTGAAAACTAGTTTCGATTATGCGCTTTGCTCTGTAACTGCGATCGGGTTTAAAATGATTGATGCGGTCGCTTTCTTTGTCCTATTAATGATTTATAATGCAGCAAACAGTGCAAGGAGGATGCCAATAGAAACTCGAAACACAAAAGCCAATTGTTTGTCAAAGCAAACCCGAAAGTATAGCAAAAGATATATTAAATCCAGTCGGACTTTTTTGTTAAAAGGATGGTTTCGAATGGTGCTAGTTAATTGATCGCAGTAGGGCCAACCCATCATGTCTCGACTGAGAAGGTTAGGGAAGTTTTGTTGTCGAAATTTAGTAGAGGCTCATTTGAAAGAATAGCTTAACAATGTGGGATCGCAAAAGCACATGTTTCAGAGGTTAAGTTTCGTGAGGAAAGGCAAAGAGCCACAAGAAATGCTCATTGAACTAATGACATTGCTGGTGGTGCAAATCATGTTTATTGTATCCTTTAAGTCAAGTCCAGTTTCAAGCTGCGATGCTTACTTTGTATGATCAGCCTATTCATGAACCCCTAGAAACTGATTTTGTGGGCGGAAAAATTGGGTCCGTCATGTATTTGACAAAAGATAGACCCAGGGTTGCCAGATGGGATTTACAAATGAAGGCCAGACGGGTGAAAAACACAGGCCAAAATGCGCAGAAAAAGGCCAAATTGAAACTTCTCTCAAAACACGCAGCGCGAAATGGAGAATATATTTCCATGCATGATCTTAGTAGGTGATTTCCAAGCTCCAGCAAGAAACTGAGAAACCCTCTCCTTATAACCAATTCCTTTGCTAATCGCTAGGCCAGTACACTGTGGAGTATTGCTCTTTCAATTCATAATTTGTTTGTTACTTATGATGCTAAAGTTTATATAAAACAAAGGAATGAACTCATAAATGCTTTACCAAAGTACATAAATGATTGACCCACTTACCATAATCCTATTTCTTTTCATATGAAAAGTATATTCTGTTTTGTAATCGGGGCTGCTTATGGTGAAGGAATGCAAAAACTGTGGTCGCAGCCACCAAATCGCAGATGGGCGAGTAATAAGCTAGTAAAGTGCAAAAACGGCAATTACTTCCAAATAAACAGTTTCAAAATTGATTACCTAGTATTTCTGTTCATTAACTTTTAGAAAATGATGTTGTTGAAGAAAAAAGTTTGTTAACTCTCAGTAAATTCTGTAAAAGCTGAAATGGTGTCTTCAACAACGCAACGACGAGTAAGGTGTGTCGCCTGCAATGCAATAGCTATGACATACCATTTGTAAGGTCATCTATACATGAAAAGCAATAGTCCCAGAATAGTCCTTTAGGTAACCATGTTGCAACACCTCTTTAAATGGAATGATTTAATGGCAACCATGCTTCAAGGCAGTCGCTTCTTTTCATTCTAGAACAAGTTTTTCTAAAGCAAAATAGCCCACAACAATCTCTATTTATTCAAATAACAGTGTTGTCGAACGCTTCAGAGATTCCTAGGAAACAACAAACATCTATAAAGAATCGTTGTTTGCAAATCATGTCGGCATATGTTGACAGAACACAGGAGTTGTAACTGTAAACCTGGGTGAACTATGGTAAACCACGCTATACCAGGGTAAACCAGTAATAGTGTGGCGTATGCATCGTGATTTTGCAGCCTTTAAAATTAAGAACGATACTTTCACAGCGATAAACAACTGTCGATGCACAAAATACTTGTTTAATTTCCAGGCTGTGTTAGTAGCACTGCTTTTACAGGACTTTCACCAAAGTCTCTTTGCGAATGTTGTTAATGTGGCCCATCGCAACCAACTCTAAATTGAAAAATATAATGCATTAGGCCCATTGATAAAAACATAACTACAAAAAGATCTTATTTTATTTTAGTTTTTAAGAAAATCATCCTTGAAAGAGGTTTTTTTTACCTTAGGCTCCTTGCCAGTTAGTGAAAATGAATGAAAGAGAAAATTGAAAAAAAGTTGGTCGTGACACTTTTCTTAAGGCTGTAATGAGCTCTGAATAGATCCGAAAGTTGAACAGACTAGTTTCGGTTGTTTTAAATTCAAGCCACATGTATGCGAAACTGAGGAATCAACATATCTTCTTTATACTTTTGTCTGGGAATTTATCCTCAAGGTTTGCGATCACTGCCGACCAGGTGGATATACTTGACCATCTTATATTTGTCTGACCTCTAATGTTCCGCTTTCCTAACCATACGGAATGCTTCCTCCCTTTGATATTGATCAGATGATTTGATCGATCCAGTACAAGTATTGCTATTTATTAGCAGTTTCCTTTTTCCTTGTCCATGACACTTCTCTGCAGCATTTTCCTCCTCTGGGTTTTCATCAGCAGAAAGACAAAAGTAGAAAAAGCAGATGAAAACAGAATCATTCGAGACGAAGCCTTTTTCATTTGTAAAGCTTAAAGTAGATAGACAAGGTTTATGCTAAGTGTTTCAAAACAGAAACAAGAAGAATCTATTCATTTTTGGAAAACGCAATTAAAGGCTGGAGACTGGATTATCTCATTTATTTTCTCCTCTATCCTCATTTTAAATCGAATCCATCGAAATCATTCTGAAGCACACCAAATAACCAATACAAAACGAAAATTGTTCAGAAACCCCTAAAATTTAAAAATGACGAGATTCGTCTCCTTATAAACGTTTACCTTAAAATTGAGGTTTTTAATGGAGGCAATTTTAACAGAATCTTTAATGTAGACGTTGTGTTACCATTTGGTACCATCCAAGCCCTGTATTTAAAGCTGCTTGTATTTAACTCGAAAGTTAAAAAATCAGAATCATCATTGTTACATTTCAGGCGGACTCTTTAATAATAAGTAAACTTTTTTGAATACTATTGTAGCGCAAAATGACGTCATCGCTCATTGAGCTTCTTCTATTCCTGTGCACAATGCAGAGCACCCAGCTTGCCAGTGGATGGGACTATAAAGCCTACCCGAATTTTTGCCAAGCAAAACCATTCAGGATGCTTGTAGGGGCAGAGGGATGTGAAAGCATCAAGATTCAAAACAACTTTTGCTATGGACAATGTCTTTCCCAGTTTTTCCCAGCTGGTTGGCGAAGGGACGTACCCAACGGCTTGATGGCTTGCAGTGTCTGCAATCCTGTTGCAACGGCAGTAAGAAGAGTGGTTCTCAAGTGCTCCAAACGAAAGGAAAAGTATCTTGAACAAAAAGTGAATATAGTCAAGAAATGCAAGTGCAGGGTTGCATTCTGTAAAGTGATGAGCTACTTTTACCGGTAACTTTCATTGCAACATTTATAATGTTCTGCAACTCGTTAAATGGGCTCGAGCTCATATGGTGTAGTCATGTTACTGTTGTTTTGAGTTGATGCATTGGCTTGATGCGACATTCATAACTCAAATTACTTTAAACTTTTTAAATTTTGCATTGTTGCTAAAGTTTCACTCTATCCCCCAACCACCCTTCTCTGCCACCAAAAACCGTCAATTAACCGAAATACCACACCTCATTCTTTACTACAAGTCCAGTCTCCCATAGCACTTTCATTCAAGGCCGTTATCACTGAGTAAGCTAAAAACGTCAGTCTTTTTACTTTTATGGACGGTAATAAGTAGGTATCCTGACTGGGAGAAATCTTTCAGGGACTCTAACTTTGTCAATCATCGTGTTCATTTTTGCTTGCATTCATAAATGAAAGATTCTGCCTGCCTTCAAAAACAGTAAATATAACCTCTTGAAACTGACAAGACTGGAAAGGTAGGCTGGCTCCAATAAGCATTGCAATCGCATTCACCTTTCAATGTTTAAACTAAGTATTGATAATTACAAAGCGATAAATTTTTCAATTTTACATTAGCTTTATCAAAATTAATAAGCATTATTATTGTAGCAATGGTGTTGTGTATGAACGATTATATGGAGGAATTGTATTGCAAGTAGCTATCAAAAAGATGGTTTGGTACCGTGATCATTCTTCAAATTTGTACTAGTCAAAGATGCTGTATATCAAAGATATTAAGTAATCTTTCAAGACTATTACTTAATACTACTTCAACTGAACGAACTTTACGAATAAAAGCCAAAATAACATCTGCTTTTAGTTAGCATACAGTTGAACATTCATGGTAGATAATCGGACAATTCTGCTATATTTAGGACATAGCTGAGAGTTAAAACACCAAGCTTTAAGGTAGCCTTAACCTCCTTTAGGGCCCGCATCCAGAGACCTCTGCTTTTATGTTACGAGACTGGTTAGCTACATCAAGTATATAGCTTACGTATATCTTCTGTTTGGGGAAAGGGACTGAAACTCATTGGATAAGAGGCTAAGTTTGACAAGATGAACATGAATGGAATATAAAAGAACCTAGGTTGCCATTTGAAAATACTTAGGGTCCATACACCTATTTCGTTCAATCTCTCTTCCGTCGGTCCTGATGTGTCAAGGGGCCCACCATGTAGCAGTCACAGACTGTAACTCTTCAATTAGAACAGCTAGTAAATCTTTATGTTTTTACCATTACCTATTTGACGTGCCAATGGCATGCTAAAGTTTACCACTGTCTCTAATTCTTAATAGAAATATTCGTTACAAACACAAAACGTTTTATTAACAACACAATTTGAAGAAATCTGTTAAAGAAAACTTAATCATTAAAGCTTAAGAAAACTGATAATTTGAATATAATTTAATTTTTTTATAGATAGTATAATAAAAAAATTATGTTTACTATTTCTTCAGTCTTCTGGCCTTGCCATTTATATTATGACTCATCAGAGATTCTTCTCTCCCGAATGACTCCCTCCCCCTGACAGAAAATTTGCAGTATGTGAAAGATCAATAGAGCTTCTAACTTTAATGTGTTGAACATTTTGACCTAAGTCAACAGCCTTACAGTCTTTTAAAGTGAACTTAGCATTATCCTTTAATAAAACATGATACGATAAAAAAGTCAGACAAAATAACTTCAATGAGACAATAAATTAACTAAAAAATATTTCCACTGTAAATATAGTTAATTAATCTAATTAGTACCACAGCAAAATCCAAACACTTTAATAATGTAGTTTAAATGTTGTAAATAATTTCATATGTATTTGACAAGTAACAACAGAATTATTTTTCAACAATAATAGCCACTATAAGATTATCATATTTATGAATATCGACATATGCCACATTAGTGACAGCAATAATACCGATAGATGACAACAACATTACTTACAGACTCTATGTAATCCCAATCGATTGCCAGATGAGTAACAGCAGATCATGGCGACAAAGAGTATAATGATAATTCTAACACAATTTTTGAAATATAAAAATGGCTTGCAATGTAGAAAGCTAATGTGACGCATATATTTGAACATCAATTCAAACATCAATTTATGATTGAGCATCACAAAATCATGCAAGGTAACTTTCCTCTGAAGTTTAATCATAATCATAAACAAAAACAGGACAGTGCATATCTATATTTTAATTACCGTCTGTAAATAGTAAATAAAACATCAACTTGGCTATACTTACAATAATGTTTTTAAGTTGCTCAACATCTATTTTTTAATATTATATTACAAAATGCTTTTTGTTCTACGTTTATAGACAGTGCTAGAGCAGCTTTCCATTTCCCCATCTGAGAAAGACTTCTTTCTTGTAAAGTCAAATTTGAGTTCCTGGTCTTCTGCGATCCCTTTCGGTACTATATCCTGGAAGACGAGAATAGACATTAAGAAACAGAGCTAGAAAAAAATGAATTAATAGTCAATTACAGGGAAATTGAAATTAATATTGAAAAATTATATTAACTACTAGTATAAATATTTAAATAAAACTGATGGCTTGCTCGAGCGAACTTGCAAGTTAAATTTATTAATTCCTAGTCGATGAGAAACATTTTCAAAATAGTGGAAGCAAACCAAAAGAGGCCTCTTTGATATTCAAATTCATAGTCGACTGTCGATAATTGATCAGATACTTCCATGCCCAATGCTAAGTTTGTTTACAAAAAAGAAAATTAGAGAAAATTAAATGGAAATTGAAGAAATATTTTACAAGTAGCAAAAAATAAGTCAAAGAAAATATTTTAAATTGCAAAGCGTTTCATAATAACTTTAAAATGCGAGAAGCATGCAATCCTGCTCTTCTCCCCGTTGCTATATCAGTGGAGAGCAAGATTGCAACAAATATTTGTGATAGAAAATATATTACCGTAATAGGGTCATAGCTTGGTTTTTTGAAATGGGACACATCACGTGTGTCACGAGCAATTTGATATGTCCTTGGTGCAGAAGATGCCGATCCTTGGCTATAAGATGGCGTCGTTGGATTGCTATGAACTCGTCGGCCAATATACGCTGGGGGCAGAATAACTTGGCTCCCAGTTCCGTTTGAAAAAACTTGAGCATATACAAGTAACTGCAATGATAAGAAATATATTTGTCAAAACCTTAGCAGGCTGCAAAATGTATTTTACTTTCAGTGAACCTTTTCAATGAGGTAAAACTTTGGCAGTATCTCAATTTCACGGTAAACTGTAAGAAATCTCTTTAAACTTCAAACTTTAAACTTTAAACAAACGCACCTTTTTTTCTTGAGATTCCATTACTTGTTTAGCTTCTTCTAATTCATTCGTCAGTTGAGTGTTCAGAGTCCTCAGCTTGATATTTTCTTCCTTTTCCAGTTTGAAATCTTCTTGATAAACTCGGAACTAACACAAAACAAGACCAATATGTTAGAAATAGTCATCAAGGCAAATTATTCAAAAAACAAAGTAACCTTGTGAGTCTTTTATAGAGAAACATTAGCGGCTAGCTATGGGGAAGGAGGGATGGGGTTTGACTTGCCCTTGAAAAAAAAATTTCCGATGAGTTTTGCAGTCTATGGGCACTTGGTCGGCAAATTTTTAAACTTTTCAGAGAGAATGAAGGCTATATCCATTTTTCTCAGCAAATGGGGCTTGGATACTTTTTTCAGAAGGGCCTTGAAACAATCAAATATTGATGGCAAATAAAAAATATTTTATCGTATTGAAATTTAGTGAAGATAAATTTTGCCCAATGCAACTCACAATTCACCATAAGCAAACCAAAGGCAAGCCATTTGTTTATGACCACATTATCATATTGCCTCTTAATTTATTGTAAAGTGTTTGTTTCCTAGAAAAATATAGAGGAAGTACTCGTATCACCTGATCTTTGTAATACTCAATGTCCACCTCGTCTGAAGTTGAACTTTTCCTAGTTGTTGTAGCGCAGTCTGAAACGACCCCTGTACCGTTCTCAAGATCGTCCGCTAAATGCCGCAGCTTATCTTGGATTCTAAAATGAAGAGCAAGCAGTTATGGGACCTCTGTGCAGAAAAACTTCAGAAATAATGACTGTGAGAGAGCATATTAACCACCGTTCAGTCTCGAGCATTTTTCTACCTTGTTTCGCCCAAGCAAGGGTTACATTCGATATAAGCATTCTAGAACTCTGATCTCTCTTTCAGTGATCAGCAACTTAGTAAAGGAGAATTTCAGAAGATACCTCAAAATATTTATATATTAAACTTTTGTCGCCGAGTAATAGAGCAAAAAAACGCTAAATTGACCGAACCGTTTGATTTTCTCGTTTTTTTTAATTATTTTGATACGCTTCTGGGTTTTAAACTTTGAAAACTTAGATCATCATCTAAGTTGTCCCTGACATTCTCATGACTGTTAGACAAAAACGGTGTGCATTACGTTAATGGGTGTTACTTGCTATTTTGTTCCAAAGCCCACTTTGTCCCTCGACTATACCCACTGTTCCTCTCATCGAAATCATTCTGCAAAAGTTGTACTTTAGAACTAAAAATGATTACGGGGAAACTGCAGCCGTGGTTTTTCGAAAAACCTTGTTCACTTAGGCCAAAGAATAGCCTATGTTCAGTGGAAAAATTCATTAAGCTGCAGTACATTTTTGGTGTGACAATGTGACTAAATTCTTTGAAATACAATACAGGGTGTCCAAATATAAAACCTTGACAATTACAATAACAGAATTCCAAGAAAAGTTTTCTATTGTCCATTACTTTTTTCTTTTCCATTACGAAAGATTACTTTAATTCTAATTTAATCATAGATTTTACAGGGTAAGTGCATTATGGTTTATTCATTTTAAATGATTCACATTACTTTTTCTTGCGACTTTGCGTGTTTTGGCGGTATGCAAGATTTCCACTTCCTTTGCGTGGGGTCGCGGGTTTACGCAGATTTCTACAAATCAATCGACACATTGCTCATTCTTCACTCATAGACTAGCATTCCTTTGCAACAGCGAAGGACAAGGGGGCGTGCAATGTGGTACAAGGAATTACGCCACCATAAGCCTCGGTACTTTTTGCGGGCATGTAAATGACCAGATATTCTAGACTGAAGGACGCAATCAGGGTATACCGGGAAAGGGGGGTTGGGTTATTATGTAGTTTTGGTGACCTTTAACAAAATTTGCATTCATTTAAAGATTGCGGATAATGGTAGCACATATATAAAAATAGCCTATTAGCTACAAAGCCTGCTCAAATTTCTATGAAAACCGAGCAATACACGTTCTAGTTCTTAATTTTTCATTCATGCCTCCAAATATTGCTACTTTCACCCTTCCCCCATAACAATGCCAATAGCTGAGGGAATTATTTTACAAGTCACGCGAAACAGAGTATTTTTTAATCTTCTACGTCGTTTCATTGCTAAACCACCAACAATGGGAATGAATTACTTTTATCTTGAAAAATTACGTCATTGTTCCAAGCCTTTGTTCTTGGGCTCCGGCACAGGTTGGAAATTGGGCGGGAGGGGCTAGGGAAAATTTAACTATCATAAGAAAATATCTCGAAAAAGCTTTTTTGCTATGCTGAAAAGAGGGAAGTCATGGGCCCTAATTTCTCACCAGATTATTTGCTTCAAAGTAAATTGTCGCATACCTTTTCCTCAGCTGTCTTTCTGAGTCTATCACATTTCTTTGTTCTTCTAAATCCTTACGATTTCTAATGAGTTCGCTTTCTAAATTTCTCTTTTCAGTTCGTAAATATTTAATTTCTTTTCTATACTCTTCCAACTCCTTCAACGTCTTGCAATAGCTGTCTATAAATTCTTTAGGAATTGCTTGTTCCATCATTGATGGTCCCATCTCGTCGAAAGTCTTTGATGGCTAGAGAAAATGTACAGTACGAATGTGAATGAGCCTGAAAAATCATTTTAACATAAGAGATCTGATGCGCTATGCAACGCCTTCGCGGTTTCACCACCCCCACGCAGGAAGAATGCCAGAATGTCGGGGTATTGCGAAACCATTGGTGAAAGAAAGAGGTGAATGGCTACGTCAACGATTTATTGTTAATAATAAAATTGGTTTCGAACAGAAACGGGGTTATCGGAAAAGAATGCAATAATATGTCATTCAAAATTACCTAAAGTTAGAGGATCGAAATACCACCCGTAATCGAGGAAGGGCCTATAGCCCGAATGCGGGGATGATTAGAGAAAGTTGTTTATTTAAATTTAAGTGTGGAAAGAGGAGGCGTTTTAAAAGCAAATATGGTAACATTGCTTTGAATTTCTTAACATTCAAGAGGAGGGGATATACGTTTTGTATTTAGATCACAAAACATGCCTTCCATAGTTGGACCATATAGGTTAGAGGATACCCCCTGGGTAACAATCCTTTTGAAAACAGTCCCCGGTGAGAGGGGAGTCCCCTTTCGAAAAATCGAATGATCCGGGCAAGGGCGTAGCTAGCGGGAGGGTGTAGGGGGTGTGACACCCCCTAAATCTTCATGAGTTTCTCAGTTAATTGTTAGTTGGTGAAAAATCCTTGGTTTGTTGGTAAAATCGTCAATCGGTGGTTGAAATAGCACCTACATTTCTCTTTATCTATGTCTTTGTCGGTAAATTTTACTACTCGTGACACTCCACCCCTCTAGTCTGGAAGGTCAAGCTACGCCACTAGATCCGGGCCAGTCGGTCTCGAGTTCCCCAACCCTCAGTGCAAGAGCCTCAGCGAAAGAGTGGACTACTGTTCGACCATCTCTTTCGCTGAGGCTCTTGTACTAAAGTCCCCTTTATTCACAAAGAATTGCTATACGTTTTGAGGTGAAATCTGAAGTCCTTATTTACAGTTCTCTTTGAAGCCCATTTCCCCTGTCAAACTATACCCATCCCCTGCAAATCCAAGCAAATGTTGTTGTCCACAGATTCTTTGTGAATAATGAGAGGTTTCTGTCATCTTTTAAAGGTTGCATCCAACGTCAAAGTGAATTTGCAGAAATTTTCAGATTTGATAAAGGATCTTGAAAATGATATGACAAAATCGTCGCCGTCACATATTTTGAGGTATTTTAATTTTAGCTTCTATATCAAGCCGCATGGCTGGCTTTTTCTGTCCACTAAGCAAATAGCGGTATGTCTGTAATTTCTCAACTGGAAATGAATCAGATATCTTATTTAATTTCAAGATAAGAGTGAATTTAGAAATTCATTGATATAGAAGAATTTTCCGCCTTCCCTTGAAAATTACCAAACATCTTATTCACTTCTAAATCACCGGCTCGCTATTTGTTAGCTTAATGAGATGCAAAATTCTTGCCAATAAAATTAGAAACCAAAGCACTGAAAATCTTCTTTTAATGACGTGATGGATTGAAGAGTTCCTTGTGACTTATTAGATTTTATTTTCATGTTATCTCATATTACGTAGCGCTTCTATTCTAAAAATAGCATTTGATATTTACAGGCGCGCTGGAGCCGCGGGGGATGGGGGGCTATAGCCCCCCTCACTTTCTGGCTGAGCTATGATATTCAGGTAGTGGCATCAAATATAATGGGGGAAAATACCATAAAAGCTTTTCAGTTTGCCTAGAGCATCCCCTCCCCACTAGAGCCCCACACTCCATAATGTGCTCCGGCGTCCCTGTTTTAAGAGACCTGTAAGAAACTTCTAACGCTTAGCTCAAAAATCAAATGGTGATTTAATGTTTCCAATCTCAACATCATCAAATCTACATTACAGCTACAAGTAATAAGAAAAATTGTGCATTCGGACAAAGAAGAATGGTGGTAAATTTTGGGCATTAGAGTAAATGACATTGACGTTAATATTCTTGCCGCCTGTAATTCCAGAGTTAGTGCTAGACAGAAGTGGTGCAATGGAAATAATGATCAAAATTCTATCGTTAGGCCAAATGACAAACAAGAGGATCACTCATTTGCTTACCAAATATCCTTTATACTGTTCTCGTTGAAAGCTACTTTGAGACTGGTCATAACACCGTCTAAGACCAGGTAATTCCATCTCACCTCCTTTCTCCTGAAACAATAAAAACGAACTTAATTTTAAAACTTGACCCGTGCTTCATTGAATCTACTAATCTAGCAATGCTGTGTGCATCTGTCGATAAATATCGTTTATTATGGATTACTCAGCTAGCATGACATCATGCTACGTATCTTGTTCCGGAGACTTGCTCTCGAGACCTTTTGTTCCGGAAAGACTGTGAAATGTTTTTAGACTCGTTCATCCACTGATCTTCATCTGACCAGGGCCGTCGCGAGGCAAGCCTCGTTGGGGGGGGGGGGGGGGGGGGGGAGGCGTGGACTACAAATTTACCTGATTGAAAAATTACTGCCTAAAATTCTTTAGCTGCTGTCACAAACCTCTGCAATGCATTTTGTAAATCTAACTCTGTACATAATTCGCAACTTTCTTTTTTATAAGATGATAACGGACTTTCCTAATATTTTGTCAAATCTCTATATCGGGACTGGCAAAGAATATAGTTACTACATGAGGCGGCACCGGCTGCCGCCGAAGGAGCAGAAAATTTTAGAATTTTGATGCTTCTAGTTCCCTGAAAAATGCACTCTTTTAAGCAAATTTCACTAAAGCAATCCTCCTAATCCTATTGAAAATTGTTTTTTTGCAAAAAAATTTTACAGCAGATAAAAACGACAATTTCGCTGTGGTCTTGAAAAATACCAGGTGGTCAGTTACTTCTAATGCTAGGTAAGAAGCAGCACTGGTTGTCAATTTAGATCCCTCTTTCCATCTTAGCATGCCTTTTGAATGTTAAAAAAATCTGGAGCTCATAGTGAATTGCAGTTGACGCTTCTACTGAGAAACGTCAGGAGATTCTACTGAGAAACAAAGGCACAATTTTACCTAAAGAGGGCTTGGATTTTTAGATTTATTGACAAGAAGCAATCTTCAAATCTTCAAATAATTAGTTTGTTTACCTTCATTCATATCAAGGAATATAATATTAAACCAACGAAGCAACTACCTTTGCTTGATCCTTTATTGATTTTATGACATTAAGGTATCTGAAATACCTAAAGCTTTTCTTCCACCGCGGATTATTCCTCAAATTTCCAATTGAGATACTTTGGGGGGGGGGGTGTGACACTTCACACACCCCGGTCGCGACGCCCCTGCATCTGACTAGCACACCCATTGCAGATTTCATTCTTAAAATCACGAGATTCCGGGGATGGACACGAGTTAATGAACCATATAAAAATATTTTTTGAGCAAGTCTATTTTTTATAAGACTTTCCAAACTTATCTGGTTACTGAAAAATTCAGTACAGAGTAGTGGCGGCGACAAGAGGGTATAGGGCAATTACCCCCACTTTTTAAATATTATTCACACAATTCTTCTAAAAATGATAAGAATGGACTGGGTTGGGGGTGATAATAATCTTCACGTCTGGTGTGTAGCACTAAAATGAGAGGCCTGACAAATTGCAGTGAAAGGTACCAAGGAAAATTACATGCAAATGTGATGTTGCTATGGCAAGTACAAAGTTTAATGATCCGACGGCGGCGCCGCGCCTAACGACATTCACGGGACAAAAGATTTCACTTCCTTTAATTCTTTAACATAGAAACATTTTATACGTTGCTATTCTTTGTTTTATAGTAACCCTTTGTTTAGAAAATTATTTGCCCACCCACCTTAGCATTCGCTTTGTTTCTTGATAGACAATACAGGTACTGAGCCTAAATAAATATTTTACAATTTCTTTATTTGTTTAGGAAATATTTTCTTTAAAAATAGAAATAATGAAATCAAAAGATGCCTCTGACCCTCTCTTAGTCTTGAATAACTGTGATAAATAAGTACCAAAATAAAATAAATTAAGTTATGACATCACTGGCATAGCTGATGATAGAGGGGACAATCTCTGAGGAGGGGAAACTTGCATGTGAGAGTAGCTATAACGATTGGCACATGCAAAAACGCTTATATCGAAACTAAACTGAGTCTGAAACACTTTCCGCGAACTTTACAACCTGTTTTTTGGTTTATCAAGATCGCTATCGTTTGCAGAATTGTTGCTCCCGTAAACCTCTTTGCTCAACAAGTAGAGAAAATGGATGCGGGTTTGATTGTTACTGGGCTTTGTGTGGGCTTCATTCATGCATTGCTCGCGCAATAGAAAGATTGTTAGACTTTTGCAAAGTTTTAGAGAGAAAAACGAATTTATTGAAGTAATTCCGAATCTATGGAAGACAAAAGCCTCAACAAGCAGGCAAAAACGAGGATTTCTTTTGCCACAGTGGATGGTTATAGAAAGACCTGTTTAACATTGATAAGCAAATAACGCGATTTGTCATAACACAGCTATTAGAGAATTAAGTTAAATGAGGTGAAAATTATTTGATTCGTGTAAAGATATCATTTAAGATTATCCAAATAAAAATCGAAGTATAACTTTTAGGGGGTTGTGTGAAAATTTCGGAAACATTTATTTATACATATGCATAGTTGTTTTAAATTAATTGAGAAAAATTACTGCCGTCATTCATACCCGCATCGTCCGTAGCTTTCGTGGTTATGATGGTGCCAATGAGTTTTCATCAAGTACTCTATTATTAATTCCAAAAACACAAAACGTATCTCGGGGTTGCTCTCTGCAAGCAATTGATAAAATACTGAGCGGCCTCTCGCTTTTCCTCTTATCGAAAGTGCAAATGGAACCAATTGAACCTCCTCTTTCGAAACGACACGTGAGTTTCGGCATTGCCCAGGGGCTCAGGACATTGGCTAACTCTTACGAAAGGCATCCCTGAAACTATTCACGGGGGATGCGTCGGTGTCTTTGTTGTTTCAGGATCGAGTTGAATCAGTTGTATAAGGTTTTGTTCTACTCTAAGAAAACGTGCATTGCAAGCAAAATAGAGAAAGTTATGTAAGCACAAAACTTCCTAACTACGCAATTCTCGTGATGAAAATCTAGAAATATGAAAGGTTTTCAAGGGATTGAATTGAAAGAGTGTAAAATTTTATGGTTGTTTGTCACCATTCTTTTCCATGCAACAACCTTAATACTATATATAGCCATAGCCCCCCGGATCTGGCGTGCCTGGTTTGCCCGAAACTCATTGAGAAGTGCTGACTGTGCCATTTTCGTGTCATAACAATTTACGGAATAGCAACAGCTTTTCAAAGCAGATTTTCAAGTTATTCGTTGATGGTTGTATGAAAACATTTTGAAATAGAAAAACCGCAAAATGTAAACAGTTTTATAAATATAGCAGGAGTAGGTTCATATAGCAAGAGTAAGAAATCATTTATAAAAAAGTAGGTTCATATTTTCAAAATTGAAACGGGACTTTTATTACAATAACTTGACTAGGTCGAAAACAAGCAAAAATATTTTGATAGTTAAATTTGATTTGCTAAAATACAACTTGCGGGCCATTTTATTTCTTGCCAGAAAATCCTATTTTACCGATATGTTTGTTTATTTTCAAACGCGAAGCGGAAAACGTTTTATTGAGCCAGCGACTAATGTGCTTTTCGTTTACCTAGCGACTCAAACATGCTAGAACTGGGATTGAAAGAATTTGGTAAAATCAGGCTTTCGTGCTAAGAACCTTGCTAACAGGGGCGTCGCCAAAGGGGGTACGGGGCGCTTTACCCCTCAACACTTCGTCCATCGGCACATAAGGATTTTTACCAGGCAAAAGAAGAACTTTTTTCTCACCTTGAAATATTTTTGCAACAATTGTAACATATTACCATTTCTGTAACAGTTTACCTTTCAAAGTATGGCAAAGTATGAATTTTGAAATAAAAACGCAAAAAGAAGCATATAAGATTATTTATCTTATGACGCGCCATTTTTGTTAGCAAAAATCATCTCTGTTCCCCTCTTTGGTACCAAGATAGGGGGAAAGCAGGGACACCGGGCGCACAGGGGTAGTTGATGCTCTTGCTATAGCTACATTTAGCTATTTTATTCATTTTGCTGTTGTTTAGCTCTTACCCTGGGTACCCCCTATTACCCTGGGTACCCCCTATGCAGGGTCCACGTCACCGGGGGGCCAAAGGGGTCATGCCCCCTACCTTTATGGTAAGCAAACATAATTACAAAGAGGCCCTGTTTTGAAGCACTGAATGCAAGTTCGACTTATAGTACTTGGCCCCTCCACCTTGAAATTTGTGGCGTGGGCCCTGCTATGTACAATTTGCCGTTGTTTTGTTTACAAAGTAAGGTCAAATGCCGCAAAAGTGGTGTGTCGCAGGTTTGCAATGACTTTCTTGCATTGACGGTCTTCAACCCCCCTAAATTGATTTCAAATTCAGATTGCATTACTTTGCAATATCCTCTTTGTCGAAGCCATTTTTATCCAAAATATGACGTCAAATCTTATATGTAGCATTGTTGAAACATGTCTTAATGTCACGTTTCCTTCCTTCCCAAACCTCCCCAAAGGAAAAAACTGAGAATGGCTACTTAATGTGCTAATGACCAGATGCTGACTCATTAAGCTTTATGTGACGAGATAAAATTGCGACTGAAAATTAAGAAACTATCCAGTAAATTTCGTGCTTTGTTCTCAATAGCTTCAAATACGTCCATACCTTACGTTTGCTTGATCGTGCATTATTGTGCTGACTTTTAAATTGGCAACATCCATTGCAGGTATATCCACACTCATTGCAAAATGACTGTTGGCAGCCAGAAGGCAGTACATCCTGGGAATCAACTGGCCCCAGATAGATCGTTGAAGTAACGCGATTATCAGGACTGCAGCAATTTCCAGTCGTGGCATTTCCTTGCATTCTACTGTCCCCTCCACTTTGCCTTACGTAATTTTATCAACATGATCAGTACTAGCATGCGGTATATTTTTTTCTGAAAGTTCCTCTTGCTTGCTCGAGCTTCCTATATTTCCAAGAACCACGTAAGTATCATGGCAGCTTGCAAATCTTTACTTTCTACCCAGCTTTGTTGGTTTTTTAATGATTCTCTCGCACACAAAATTATTTTTACTACTACCTGCTCCTCGAGTTGCTCAGTATTCAAATATCTTCAAGTCAGGAACTTGATGATGCCCTGGAAGCATATCTGCAAATTAAAACAGGAAGTTCCTTTCGACCTCGCTATCCAATGCCAATGAACACACAGGGTGCTCAAATCAGAATCTCGGAGTCATGTTGACGTAATTGATATTCAGATTAAAAATTCCAAAGTTACTCATTTTTTTACAAGGAACAAGGATCGTAGCAGAATACCCTAGTGTGCTGAATGTTTTTTTTTAAATTGCAAAACTTGTTGATTCTTAAGAATTTGATTTTTAGCATTGATAGTAATTCTAAAATTTTGACATTTTAGCATATAATTTCCAGCAGAAATTTGTTTTGGAAAGGGTTGGCAGCTTCATTTTGTGTCAACTAGCCACAATTTGAATGCTGTAGATGCAATATTGTGAAAATGTTGCGCATTAGATATTTACTGTGTTTTGTCATGAATAACAAATTAAAATGCCTATCAAACCAATGCATAAAAACAAATGTATTTTTATGCTCTGTTTGGGCCACTTAAAGGTCATTCGTGCGTTGTATGGATGGCGACGAAATAACATTACAAAAAATAACGAACACACTACCTTTAGCAACTAGATAGAACAGAAAACACTTGCTTTCAAGACTGGACTGTTACAAGGCTTAGAACCAATAAAACATGAAAGTGTCAACTGGGGAGACCCGGGGAACCATGAACTTGAAGGTAAAAGTCCAGAACTTAAGCACGCTGGCACAGGGCAGCAGACGGTCATTGGCAGCTTTTTCGTTCGTCCTGAATTAGTTTTTACCCCAAATTTACGTTGAACCTGTTCATGTTGATAGTACTTTCGTCTGTTGCTTTCTGAAAGTAGTGTACAATGTATACTGTAAAGAACAATTTTTTCATATAAATATATAACACAAACTACAAAACCATTCTAAAGTATAAAAGAAAAGGAAAATATGAAAAACAGCGGTTCATACTTGAAAATAAGAAGCATTCTAATTTCAGGCCTAAATTTGTTTCATTTAAAATGAGCCCTTTCTAAAGAAAACGAGGCCTGTTTCTCATGCAAGAGGGTTTCTTACTGAATAACAGTTCACCACGGGACACCTCCCTCGGATGAGCTGATATTTTCAACCAGCAGCATAACAGGAACATAATGACCAATGAGAAGCAGCCTACCCGCACAACTTGATTTTGATTGGTTGAAAGAAGGAAGCGAAACTGCAGTTTAGTTTCATGTGTCATCCCCTCAATCGTGCACTGAATCGAATAGTAGTCGTTCATCGTTAAAGAAAACTGTCAAATGGAAAACTCATTTTCATAACAGAAAACTTATAGGAGAGTTTCAGGTGCTTATGTACAAATACAGTACTAAAAGATTCTCGCAGAATATCTTAGCTTAGAGAAATTTTGAGCAAGGTTGCCAAGTTTTGGAAAATAATACCTGCGAGATTTCATGCGCGAAGCTAGTGAACAATGGAACTGGAGTCCAGGGTTGGGGGCAGAAGAATTTGAATATACAATCGAAGCAATGAACAATGATAATGTATTGTATAAACATTAACGTGTTTGACAATCATTCGCGCAACAGGTCTGGGCAAGTGATTGTCATAAACAATGTAATTTAATGGAATGTATTCAGCAACCACTGAGGCGTTTGCAGAAACGGGCAAAAACAAAGAAAACATAAGAAAACGAATCTCAAATACACTCTTTTCTTTTTATAAGGACAATGAAGGTTGTCTCGCTCACTTTGGTGGCAAACGAGACCTTAACACCTACCTCCCTAGAGCGAAAAAGCTAGCAATCATACTGCTTACACCCTATTAATATAAGAACAATTTAAGAAAAATCCAGCCTCAGATTTTCGTAAACAAATAAGAACAGTCAGCCTGAACTTAAATTTGCTGATTCTTATAAAAAAGTGTATACAAACTGTCATTCAAAAGCAAAGTTTCAGTTGAACAACGTGCATATAGTTGTACCAAAGTCTAAAAATACCTTTTTGGGATGTTTTAACCTTGGAGTTGCGTCTTATTCTACTCAGCACATCAAATTATGCCAGGAAACAAAGATTTTTTAGAATTTTGTACTCAGTTTTGCAAAATCTTTCTGATAATAATCATCAGATTTGAAAAATTCGAAGGTCGAAATTTTGCTGAATGTGCATTTTTCACGCTTTCTTAAACACTACCTCCGGTCATTTGTCGGTATGTACCCGAGACTTCAAATGATCAGTGGTCTTTACCTTCATAACTTAAACTTTGAAAATTTCGGTTAGGTAATTTGCTAGATAGTTATGCAAAATTCCCTGTATATTTAGAGGCGCCACAACCTGGGGGTGTGTGTGAGGGGTGTCACAACTCCAATAGTATCTCAATAGAGTACCGAAGTGTGACGTCTTCAAAAATATTTTTTATAATTTCTTAATTTTGACCATATAATCTAAAAGAATAGCATAAAATACCTCTCAATATGCAAAATCAATTAGATATGCTCAAAAGTGTGCATTTTCCAGGGAACTGGAAACATCAAAATTCGAAAAATTTCTAGTCCTTCGGCGGCAACCGTGGTGCCGCCTTGGGTAGTAACTATATCCTTTGCCCGTTCCGATATACAGATTTGACAACACAATTAGGAAATTCCGTTAATACCATATAAAAATAAAAGTTGTGAATTATATGCAGAGTTAGATTGACAAAATGCGTTGTAGAGGTTTGTGACAGCAACTAAAGAATTTCAAGCAATAATTTTTCAATCAGAAGGCACCGCGGAGCAGGGGGTCTGGGGGGGGGGGCTTTAGCCTCCCCCCACTTTTTGCAAAAAATGTCAAATATCAAGTATCAAACTACCAGAAAAGCCTCTTTTTATACGGTTTTAGCCCCACCCACTTTGTTTAGAACCCCCACTTTTCTCAACACTCCGCGTGCCTGATCAGGTAAATTTGTATTCCACAACCACCCCCCCCCCCCCCCCCCCCCCCAACAAGGCTTGCCTCGCGACGGCCCTGTATATATTATCTAGGGTTATAAACGAAACTACGGACTTGTCGTCACATTTAGCTTAGCCGTGCTCGTCCAAAAAAACCCTTAAATTAATCCTTGAATGAGGCCCAGGAAGAAATCTGTGAGAAAAGTAACTCCCGTCGTGAGACTGAGAGAAGAGGTGAATATCCGTGAGTCTCAAGGCCAAACTGTGAGACTTGGCAACCGTGAATCCTCTGCGGACAATATGATCCAGTGGTGGCGCTAGGTTTCCTCCGACAAAGGGGCTAGCACTTCCGACGGAGGGGCTAATTTTTTTAGAGAACGATAGGGCTAGGGGGCGACAAGGAATTGTAAGGGTACTGGAGACCGAAGGCGAGCGTTGCGAGCCGAAAATTCGGGGGGTCCGGGGGTACTCCCCCGGGAAAATTTTGGTGGCTACACCCATTAGATTGGCTAAAAATGCTATCAAAATGGTGTAATCGTGTTTTTTACTACGTTTTTTGACATATTACTAAGGGCACGTTTGCCCCCTCCCTTGCCCCTCCTAGCAAAGGGCAGGAGGGGCGCTTGCCCCCCCGCGCCCCCCTTCTCCGGCGTCCCTGGAAATTTTTTTGAAAGCTGCCTCTAGATAAGCTTAAAACTACTCTAAATCTTTACAACTCATCAAACGTTGCCAATTCAAGTAGGGCCTATCTTTGGAAAGTATGAATTTAAATAAAAAGCAACCAACTGAACTTAAGGAAAACTGGAACACAACGTAACTTTATAGGAACAGACCTAAGCGGTGGAATACGCACTTCTACATATCGAAAATTCAAGTCCAAGAATCAAAATTGTTTCACAGAGCAATTCTACTCTTCGGGAACTTAGCCTTAAATCTGTCTTTTTTCTAATTTCCGCCAAAACTTAAAAAATTCGCTCCGACAAAAAAAATTCAAGCATAATTTATCTTCCGACGGAGGGGCTAGCCTCCTCCGACGGGGGGGCTGTAGCCCCCCCTGCCCCCCCTCTGGCGCCACCACTGATATGATCCTCGCTCAAAATATTCTAACAAATCAATCTTAGATATTTAGTTTTTGACTTAGTTTTGGGAAACATTCGCTCAGGTAAACATTTTTTTATAGTGCTTAAATATAAAACTTAATTTTCGGGTACGTTTTTGGCAAACTATATTTTGGGCATTCCTGAAACCGCCTGGGCTGAACCCCCTTGCCATCTTCATATTTCGTACACTTCCTGGGCCTGAAGCAAAACAGGTAGTCGGAGATAATTAGTTTTCCGGAAATATCTCATCAAAAAGAACCCTTGAACAAAACATTCTCTAGCGATTATTAATAGTTTATAAATGTTTGCAAATCACATAGAAAATCGCAATGAAGTTACTAAATTTAAAGCTGTTTGTCGTTTCAAATGTGCGAAAGTCGAAGAAGCATTGACACACATTTTATAACTTGAGTGTCAGAGCCTCAAAGAGTCAAAGGATAGAGAGTAGCGGGATGACAGAATTGCGAAAAACGGGGAAAGGAAATGAGAAGGAGTAGGGGTGTCGCCAAAGAGGGGTGCCGGGAGAGAGTTGTGCGGTGCCCCAAAAATTTGTCTGTTGGCACATTGAGGATTCTGGCCGGGGAAAAGAAGCAATTTTGGTACTCTTCCTTTCACCTTTTGCAACAATCATCATAGAAGTTGAATCTGGTTTCTTGAAAGACAGATGCGCACAGGACCGCATTTACGTCTGTTGGGGCCCTGGGCTCAAAGTTGATTGGATCCTCTTAAAATATACCATAATATTTGTGTCGTGTGCACAGTACTTGGCTAAACGTAATCAAACATAATCAACCAACTATAAGGCACGAATAAACTTGTATCCATTTCACATTTCAGTACATTCCCAATAAAACTACCCAACTGCTGAAAACTTTTCGATGATTTTATCGGGGTTTAAAACTCAAAATCTGATATCAAAATCTGATGCTGTTAAACATAAGGAAACAACGCGCTACTGTGACACTGTGGACCTTAGTTTACACTCATTTTATTTACCCTTTTCAACATGGTGAAACATTTTTCACCGGAAAAACCTCTGTATGGCAAGTTGAACAACAAACTAAGTGCAGTCATTGTATTTGGGGAAGCTCTCATACGAAACCAATCAAACACTCATAATACTACTAATCATACAAAGCAATTCGCTGCAAGCAAAAACTTGGAAAGCTAATTTTAACTGAAACTTGTCACTGGTCGCAGGTTCGAGTCTTGCCCTGGTCGTTTCCCTCGCCCCTCACCTATATTTTCTCTCATTTAACTTTCACATATCCTCTTATTATCATTATGACAGGTTTTTTTGCGTGAGAAAGTGTTTTGGTATCACATGTTCAATGCAATAAAGCGCACGGGCCCTGTTGAGGTCACATCACTTCATGAACATCTCAAGATTTCATGAAAACAATACACCTTCTGCAAAAATTCCATTTTTCTTACGAAAAATCCCTGGGAATCTTTTATATTCGTGGAAGTCTCGCACGCTACTTGCCAGAGTTGGACCTCGGTCCTCGGCCTCGATTGGGAGCTTCTCAATAGATTTGAAAGAGTCTCGTTCTTGTTCTTGTTTGGATCTGAGAAAGTCTCGTTCTCGTTCTTGTTTGGAGCTGAGAGTTCCTTGTCACAAAATTCGCAAAACATGGGTCTGCGGTCATGTGCTTTTCCTATGACATCCGCTTTCCTTGTTAAAAGTACAAAATTAAAATACTGAGATTCTAGTCAACATGCTGCAGCTCCACATGACAGATGAAATGAAATCAGTTATCGAAATAATTCCAAAGATAAAAATTTTTAGGAAGACATATAAAATAAGGATGACATCGAGAGCGGTTAGGTGGTGCGAAACCCCCGAAAGCCCTTGAAAATTTCATACAAAATATGTATTTCTGGGCGGGCAGGTCCCTCAAAAGGCTTGTATTCACAGCTATTTTGACAAAAGTCGGTTGTTAATAGGACTGCTGAGGCCATCCAAAACTCAATGCGCCATCGCCTGCCCTTGCGAAGTCTGTGTCCAACTTCACACCAAATTTGTTGGTCGTCATGATAGCCTGATCGCAGATTTCAAGACTTTATGTCACCAACGTTCTTATTTTTCTCTTTGACACAAAATACTTTTTTTCTTTTTTGAGTGTTAACTGCTGCATTTTCGCATTTTGCATTCTCAAACTACGTACATCGTTGATTTACTTCTAAATTATGAACAGTAAAAAGAATCTACAAAACACCGAAGTAGAATTGATGCGTCAAGAGTTTTAGACCAATCGCATAATGAAGACTACATCTGAGATAGTGTTATTTAAAGTTGACTGTTTCTTAACAAGCAATATTGAGATTATTTGATAAAAATCACTTGCCTTTACCACCAGCTCATCCATATCATTGTTGTCAATTCACAGAGGCTTGCAGAAGGTTGTACAGTCGTTATCAACTTTGAATCGATTTTGCATGCATCAGCAGACCCCTTAAAATGACCAGCAAATAATCAAAGAATCACTCTACAGGATAAGGCAGGGGAAAATGTAACGCTATATGACATATTTCCAAGACTTCCACCATGTTACTGACTACCTTGTCTGGGCTGTTTTCTTAGAATCACAATCCTTGGAAACGTCAAAGATTGCTATCGGCCTAATCCTCAAACGGTGATTTTGGCATTTTAAGGTTACAGATTTTATTTTATATTGAGTATGCATTGTTTTGAGCATGCTATTGCTGTTCTCTGGTTGCGCTCATTTTGTTTAATATTTTAAATCAACGGAAGATGTTAAATACCTATGTAGTATGGACGTTTTCCTGCAAAGACGGATGTCACACAGCACTAAAATAAAATAAATGTTTCTAGGAATTGCAGCAAATTGCCCTACACAAATGGAATATACAGGCTGGTTTTCTTAAAAGATACCCCTAGCAAAATGATGCAAAATGTGTTTATATTGCAAAGGAAATGAAATCATTTTTTCTTGAACCTTAAATATATCTCTGGTTTTTAAACATCAAGGTAAATTACAGACAAAAAGTTTTATTTGGTCATATTCAGCATGTCATATTTCGATACCAAGAATATCTGTCGTTATTCGTTTGAGACATTACCCAAAGCAGTATTTCTGATTACGCTTTTTTGACACCCAACATGATTTTACAAGCCCCTCCTATAAGAATCTTTATACCCTGTTTGAGCTGGACCTAAAAACCTTCCTCTTACGAACCTGGCTCAGCCTAGGTCTAAATGAAAAGCCTTTTATTTATGGGGAGATCTATGTATTTCATTCAACCTTTCTCGATCAATTCTTGACAAAATTTATTTTGAAATTGCTAAACGCAATAACTCAAGCAGTTTCAATGGCTTCCTCGCTTTACGTTAAAGATAAATTTTCACAACTTATTTGAAACAGAAATAGGAAACAAATAGGCATAGGGTAAAAGGACAGCTTTGAAACAGTAGCCCTCCTGGTAAGTAAAGAGCCACTAAGTCTCGATTGAACCCTTGTAACATGAAAACTAACTTTGGAAAAAAACAAAGCAAATCTAGATTTCTCATTTTTATGGTTTAATTGATAATCTACCAAATTTACTACAAATATAAATAGAAATGCTACATGACTTCAAAAAAAGTCACTATCATACACAAAGACAATAAAAATACTGAAGATTATTGATAAATTAAGATTTATTTATGGTAATTTTTCAGTTTTTTAGATTGACAGTGTCCAGAATCAGTTTTATGAATCAAGTTTTTGTCCTTCCTGCAAATGAGTTAAACACATCTGCTTTATAGTCTAACGCTCCTTAAAGGAAGCTAAAAATACTTTGATAAAGAAAATGTTGCATAATTTTCTACTGAAAAATTTTACAATATCTAAGAAGGTTTGAATGTAACTATTGTGAAAAAGAAAGGATTGTTTGCAGAGATAGCCGACAACAAATGGAAGATCGCCATTGCTTTAATATGGCAGGTACTTCGAATCTCGTATAGCCTGTGTAGACAATAAATGTCCTTTTTATGACCGAGCTTGCAAGGAATGTGCCTGGCTCTTGTTCCGGTTTTCAATTTGGATGATATTTGGATGCATATTCGACAGACAGGAGCGAACCAAAACGTTTTCACATATCTACAACTGTAGAGTTTACAAATTGTTGAGGAGCTCAAAGTCTAATTTGGGTCTAAATGTCGATCCAAGACCAAGACAGGAGAAAAAGTAGTATCTGCTTCTCTGTTTTAAAAGCGTAGAAAACAGTCACCAGCAGCTCGATACACTCATCTGGCATTTACTGAGACCGGACTTGATCTTCTTGATCCAGATGCGGTGCTTTCTGACATAAGACTCTCCAAGTCTACTTTTGCCTCCTTAATGTAAAACAGTGGTAGAGAATTTAATGATATGACCTAAAATACTGATTGGGAAACATAGGAATCATTCATAGATCACACATTCATAGATGCTATATATTTTTATTTCTACATCATTAGATTTCAATTTTCTCTTTACTTCGTTTGATGACTATCTACATAAAGAAGGACGATGACAATAGCATTGAAACAAATTAGCATATCTATCAAAAACATTGAGGTTAATAGCCAAGTTTCAACACAAAAAGTCGTAATTACCTTCCATTTGAACCCTCTACCAAATGTAAAGGTCAACTCGTTTTTTGACTCCCCGTAACCTGGGGTTTTGGGGCGATCACATAACTTTGAATGGGCATTGGTCATTTTCATGAGCTCCTTCCGTCGCCTCATTTGTTCACGCTCCTTCTTGGTCACTGCAACGTTACAAAAAGGCGTTAATAGCAAACATGCATTCAAACTTCTAAAATATAACAGTCAAACCTTCATAACACTAGCAGAATTTGGCATTTTTGAATCTTTGTTTCCGTTGTGGATACATTGTTCGACTTAATCTCATAGAAAGATTATAAACGTATTACCGCTGGTTAAGCGCCCGGGCGCATAAACTGCGCGGCGCTTCGTCGAGGAGTGTATATTGACAATTGCATGAAGCTCCTTAACGGGGTTTAAAGGAGCAATATAAAGAAAAAATAACTCTTATACTTTGCCTTACATTACTTTGCCTTTTATTTTACATTGCCTTTTTATGGATTTTCCAATGACCATGAGTTTACTTCAAGGATATGCTCATTGGAAAGGGAATGATGTTGCTTTATTTCGTATTTGAGGGGGCACTGATTCATATTTGAGAGGGGGGATATAGAGTATTAGGAACTATAAAGTACATAATGGGTCAAACAATAAAAGGAGCTACAATGGCAAAAATAAAGGATACTGTTATGTGTTTTCAAATTTTAGGGCAAATTCCCTGGCTTCCCCTAGTTCCACCGTTCCTGGTTTCCAATCGTTGATTCCACATTTTTTTTTCACTGCACATTGCCTACTACCCTGGGTACCAGACTCACTATGCATAGTGAGTCTGGTACCCAGGGTAATTGCCCCCAGACTTTCCGCAAATTTCTTTATTGTTGGTCCACCTAACTTTTTACCGAAACAAAAATTTAGCATTCCTTGCATCTTCTAATTTCTTTTTTGCTTTGAATGAGCCCAGTAAATGCTTTGATTTTAATTTTTAAAATTGAAAATTCGTATCCTGTTCATCTATAACAAAAGCGAGGCCATTAGTTTCTTAGACACATCTTTTGCTTACTTGGAAATTCCGGTGGGGTTGTGGAATCTCTAAACTGCTTGCAGTACCCAGCCCAATACGGAAGAATTTCTTTTAAAATTGCAGCTTGTGCATCGTCGAATAGATAAGGATCCTTCTGCTCTCTTGGAACACGCTTTGCCATTGAATAATATTGCGAAGCCTTCTGGATTGCTTTACCAGCTTGCTCTTGATTGAGATCAACCTAGTGAAGCAAAATTTAAACGTTTTAAGATAAACAAGGCTGGCATGTAAAGCATTTCCTGAAACATTAGGCGTAGAAGAACATGAATCGTTACGAAAGACAGCATCAGGAGGGACTGAAGAATTTATGTAATAATAAACATGGGTACATTATCTCTCTTAATGAAGTAATAACCGTACAGAAACCGTAGTTCAAAAACCGTACAGAAATAAAGTTAAAAATGTATTTAATAGCATTGTACTTGTCAATTAAAAGAGCGACGTAATAAAGCTAAAAGTTTCCGACATGTCAAATGAATTGAAATAACTTTTTTAGCTTTATAGTAAATAATGATGATGATGATGATAATGATGATGCTGATGATGATGATGATGATGATGATGATGATGATGATGATGATGATGATAATGATGATGATGATGATCATGCTGATTGATTATGATGATTATTCATTACTCATTATAGATTATTGATCATGATTTAAACCTATGATGACTGAATATGACAGCTGATGCTGATTATCAACGATAAAGGAAGAGATTCGGTGAATTAATGCAACATATTATTTACCTGCAGCCAAGGTGGAGTTGCAGAATCAAGGAACACGTCGATGATCACTTCAACTTTTCTATTCAGTGCAGTCTAAAGAGAATCAAAAGTAATTTCTAAGTCTTCTGATTTCGTATCGCCTCCATGTCTTCCGACATGCCAACCTAATTACACGTCTTGCTACCAGATACATATGAACCCCAATGGTCTGCTCGAGAATATTCCAGCGCAACACAAGAAATTTTACAAAAGTGGGTAAACTCATAAAAAATCTAGTAAGAATGAAAAATATTAGTGCCAAATAAACCAGTTTTAAGACTGGTGAAGCTCAATGCGAGGCAATACCGTGGTTCTACTATCTGGATTTAAAACTGAATATATATATATATATCAAATATTCAAATAAAATTTACAAAAATTCTTATAATGTTACGGGACGGTGATTCACCGTCAATTCAAACGAGACGGTCAAAAAGTTTACCAATTCATTTTAATGAACATTGCATTTACTATTCACCGTGTTTAAAATTTCATTTAATCGCTCTTCAGGCAGAATCGCTCGATAAACGAAACTTTTTTCTCTGCCTTAGAAGAATCTGCAAATGTATCAGCATCGATATCCCTGTCAGAGCTGACGTACGGTGAAACCAACAGTAAATTGGCAATGTAAAAACTTCCTCAATGAAATAGGTTAGAGAAGTATAAAAATTCTTTGTTTGGCGTAATTGAAAAATGATTTGCTGAGGAAGATAAGGCCTAAAATTCCGCATTCCCGATCGGCCGAAAGCAACACATTCTCCTGACCTAGACCTATTAAATTGCTTCCTTGTTCGCATAATCAACTTCCCACGCACTATTAAAAAAATCCACGTACACAATCCTTTCAATTTACGATTTAAGTCGCTGAAACGACAGCTTTCAGACCATAGGACACGGAAGATTTTACGCTCATTGCTCATCATTTGAATTAACCAGTTATGAGGAACCAGTTAATGGTGTTTAATATTAACGAGAAAAGGCAATACCGTAAATCCTCGAATAAGCCCCCCCCCCCTTTAGGCCCTCTGCAGCTAATAGAATAAGATGCTGATTTGTATAAAGTTGGTTTTACACGAGGGGCAAATCACTCCAAGAAAATCTCGTACACTTTTTGTGAAAATCCTATTGTTTTATCTAAAAATCCCTGGAAATCCTTTTTTTAGAGAAAATCTCGTATGCTATTTGCAAGAGTGAATTGCCCCTCAGTTTTACAGATATCTTTAAGGAAATGATAAGCAATAGGTAGCAGTAACACTCTGCTACTGTCCAATTCTGGGGGGTGTTTTTATATTGAGCAGATGAAGAGGCTAAAACATTCTAAAAAGTACCCAATTTTCCTAGGAAACCTTACCGTAAAAAATCTATTAATCCCCCGGGCGGCTTATTCATTTTTTTCAGTCCTAGTGGAGGGTTTATTAAAGGGAAAGGGCTTATTAGAGAGGAGGGCTTATTAATGATTTAATGTAAAAAATGTTATAAAAATGCCCTTATACATAAGAGGTATGTTTAATATAGAAAGGGGTTTAACCTAAATTTTTGCATCAAAGAGAGGGGAGCTTAAAAGAAGGGGGCTTGATATAGTTTTTACGGTATATTTCAGTAACACTTTTTATCAAAATTCGCAATCAAAAGTGTGTGTTTGATGCAACGGGGAATTTGGTTTCAAAATTGGGAGTCTGCGTTTTGAGCCATAAAAATTTAAAAACAATTAATTTGAAATACTGTTTTGTATCGTGTTACGGTGAACCTTTAAGGCCTTTCATAACGGGGCGTCATATTGTCGGCAGGATCGAAATTGTAATTCGTTAGTGAACAAATGTTAAGGAAGAGAAATTTTTTTGTCTATCTGATTCTATAATCTTAAACTGCTTTTACGCAGCCAAAAGTTAGCCTTTGGCGTTCTCAATTTTTGAAATTTGTTCCCTGTTAGAAAAAGGAGTTTTTTAAAAAAATATTCCACCAATGGATTCTGATGATTGCACCACCATTCACAGGAAGCACAAAGAAATGAAGAAATAAGTAAATTTGCATGATATCATGAGTAGCAAGCAAACTGGTCAGCGTAAGAGTGCAAACTAACAATGTTTAACATGCAGTAAGAACAGTGAAAGTGAAGTCAACCAAAAAAAAATTTTAGCATAAAAATTGTCCCAAAACTTCATTTACCTTTCCTATTTCAAGAAAGTTCGCAATTTTTCCTTCTTTTTTAACTTTTCTTATATACAAAACCCAAAAAATAAGTCAGAAATTCGTGAACCCAAAAAGGTAATTGTACAGTTGACTGACTCAAAAAACCACTTTTTTTTAATTAGACCTAAAAAGTACTTGAGCACCCTTATCCTAAAAACAAACGAGTTCCTCTTAGAGAAAAAAGGTTATGAAAAATAACAGGACAGCAGAAACTTGCAGATTCATACACAGTATAACCTGATTCTACTAAAGAAATCTTTCGCTCTAAAATATGCAACTAGCTCTTTGGACTTTTTTCGAAAGATAATCTCAGTGACTTAAAAATGAAAATCAACTAAAAAGCCGCAGTCATCAAATTCGCAGAAACGGGATCAAGTATTTGAAGAGAGCACTAGATCCTTTTGCCGTCCGCCTTACACGTGCTTCCTTCTAAAAAGGAAAGTACTTTAGCAAATCTGCAAATCTTCTGTGAATTTACAGAATATGGCAGTGTATGGTAGACCTTAGTGGTGCATTCAGTAAAGAAGCAAAGTATTTTTCAAGTTATCATTTCTATAGCAACCATAGGCGTAAACTTAGGGGGGGCTCTGGGGCTTCAGCCCCTCCTGAGGAAAACCGAAGGGGGCTGAGCCCCCCCTGGAAAATAAGAAAGTGCTTCACCAATTTTTAGATTAGTTGGTTATATTATTGGTTCCACGCATAAACATTTTGGGTGCCTAAATAGAACTGATGATCTCAACCTAAAGAAACTGATTATGATTTAAAAATACACTTTCCATCATCTCATGTGTGTTTCTTCTTCCTCGATAATGAAAAATGCACGAAAAAATCACCTTTAAGCCCTTGTTGAATCCATTTTCTATCCTGTGACTCCAGCAGCTGCCATTAGGAATTGTCATTAATTTTTTGAGCCGCCCCCCCCCCCTGAAAAAATGCAAGTCTACGCCTATGATAGCAACAAACTAAAGAAAACTCAGAATTGATGTTCTTGTGGCTAGATTCCGTAGACAAGACCTCGAGTCCGAATTTTAATGTCATTTTAATCATCATCATCAGGTACCATCTTCATCAGAAGGTTGGCTACCATGACCCTCCAACTATCCGAAAATCTGAGTTTTGGTTTGTTGTCATGGTCATAGATAAAATTGATGTCATGGTCATTTTAATCGATTTCTCTTTTGAATAGCTTACATTGTGAAAATTTATTCACCATAAACAAAGGTTTTTCAAGTTATCCACGAGCACGTGTCGAATAAAATTTGACTAGACTATAGCCTTCTTGCTGTGTATCTTTCTATAGTTTTGCAACTGAAACTTCATTAAAAACAGAAATTTCTCCCTCAAATTGAACTTCTGCAATAATTTCCCGCGAAGACAAAAATGTCACCTTCGAGACTTTCGAATGGGCATATTGTAACCTTGTGATGAGAGAGCATTATCAGATTTCAGAGGGAAAACCTATCAATCAATGTAAACCCAACTTGACATCTACAATAAATAAATGTTCTCTAGCTCTGTCAGAAGATTATAAGGGCAGGGGAACAGTCTTTAGCTACCATTCAGAAAATAAGTAAAAGATACCTTGAGCTTAACATCTAGTTCCAACACTGAAAATCCCTCCACATTCAGTGAACTACATATCATACAGGCCATCATCCTTATAGGGAAAGCCCTAAAGCGCAGAACCCCCAATTTAATTCTAGTTTAGCAGGTGTTATTATATTATTCCTTTACTACTTTGAATACTTTCAATTGCAAAAAACTAGCATTATTTTTCGATTTTGGATTTGCTAATGCTGTTCTTTCTTAGTAAACACATACTTTTAGATGAGAACAATTTGAGAAGAGAATGAAAAATCTGAGAATAAGAAAGACAAAAGAGCCAAAGACAAACCTCATCCAAGAACGGGTACAGATCCTAGAAGAAAAAGAGATTTTCTTTAAGAGCCTATCTTTATTAGTTTAAATAACATCTTAACAATGCCCTTTAATTTTATGTATAACAGTTCTTTCTGTATCGCCTTGACTGTTTGTTTACATCTACCCTTGTGCAAATGTTGTTTTATATCTTAGTTGCCTACTAACACGTCCAACTGGTTAAGCTACATATCTACCACTACTTATAAAAGGGTACTAGCTAGACTAGCGAAAGGAATTGCTTATATCTAAAAATTCAAGCTCTGTCAGAAGATTATAAGGGCAGAGAAACAGTCTTTAGCTACCATTTAGAAAATAAAAAAAGATACCTTGAATTTTTGCACTTCTATATAGAACAACAAGTCTTTCTCGAGTCGAGGAAAAGCACCAGGCTCCTCTTTGACGATTAAGTATTTCCGAAATAGCTGCATTTCGTCAGAAAGCCTTCCAGCGCAAGCATGAACCTCTTCTAAAAATAATGTGCGGTCTTCCTTTGTTGGATTTGCTCTTCCCGTACCCTGCAACAAAATGAGGATGATCAGTATTTTTCTAAGCAGTAAAACCATGGAGAATAAAAATCTTTTGACAACTTTCTGATTTTTTAAAAATTTTGGCATTGTCACCGCTAAAAGTTGTTGCAGTTGATGCCCTATTTACCTTTTCCAAAATTTTCCTTGTTACTTTTGAACTAACGTTTCTTAGCAATGAAATTTAAAGATAATCATCTATATTTTGGTCTTTATGCTTTATCAGGAATAAAAGAAAAGCTCTTATATACTCTTGTTAAGTTATGCATGGCCGTCCTTAAAGCTACTTTATCTTTGGTTAGCTTTCCTCTGGCACACAGCCATGGAACAGTAATACCTTCTCGCCTGAAAATCAACAAAGTAAAAACTAAAAACTGAAAGTTAAAGTGAAAATTCCTAATTTCTTATCTATAAGCAAGGAAAGAGAACTCCTGTGTTATCTTGTTATTAGCAAAAAAAAGAAACATAATACACGTAAAACTTAATGACTATTCACATGAAACACACAACTGAAAATAGAAAAAGATCAGATATCTCATTTATTGCACTTGCCTTGCGTTTCTTTTTCCCAGCCTTTGGAGTAGGCATGTGGCTATGTATGGTTCGCAAACTTTCCATTGTATCAGGCTTGCTATTTACATCTGACGTCATACGCCCCAACTCGCTGGCTGCAGCAAGGATTTCTTTGTTCAATTTGTGCTGCGCTTTCTAAGTTCAAAAAAGCACTCCAATTTTATGAAAAATGTTTAAGGATTTTGTCTAGCTGAACAGAACATGAAAATTTACATTTATTGAACAAGGTTGAAACACTAAAGTGTGTTAGGTTACATAACCGTTACAGGCAGTGTTTGAAGAACCCTTTGTATCTATTTCTCTGTTCTCAAATCTATTCAATGCACTTTTTTGCAACATTTCATCAAACTGTCAGTAAGAACTGGAAGTCTAATTTCACAATACAACTAAATTTGCAAGCAATCCCTTATGAATGCATAAACAATCTATATACAATTTCTGCGTACCTTGTAAAAGGATTGGAAAGATGATTCGAGTTCGTGGAGAACACTATATTTTGCTTCAAGCAGCATTGGCGTTGTTGGTAGTTCATCTTCAACTTTATCAACCACCTCTTCGGGAAGTCGGACTGCCCTAATGTTTTTAAAAGATGGATTCCATTAGTGAGCTTACCGTCAGACGGGTTTTGGATCAAGGTAACCCACGTTTATAACATATAATTGCAATGGCTAATGGTTGCATGTAGTATTTTACAGGTTCACAACAAACAGGCGAGGAAAAGTAAATCAGGCCTAAAGTATGGGAATATACATACACAAATAGTTCAATGTGTACCTGCAAACGTTTTTCTAGGTTTTGTATGCAATGTCTTTACGGTTACAGTGTAAATAAATTTGCATTTCCAAGAGTAAGAATAATAGAAAATGAAAATTTCATGAAAAATTAAGTGGCTATGTAAAGAAATGCTGAGCAGAGGTAATTTATACTTGCACATACCTTCGAGATCCGGGATCAAAGTAGGTTCTGTATATTGTAGAGCTGTGTTGCTGTCTTGACAATTTCTTAGCAGGATGAATGTCATTATACGCTTCAATATCCAGAAGCATTGAAAGGTTGTTGAAGGCATCACGACCTTCTTCATTCTGTATGTGGTGCTTAAAAGCATTGAGGACGCTGCAGAGAGTAGTTACCTTGTTTTTAATCCAGCAGTAGAGGAGTTACTTCTTCTTAGAAATAATTAACTCTGGATAAAATCAATATAATAAGACGTTCTTTCTTAAAACATTAAATTCACAAACTTTGAACCATCTCGGATGAATCAATATTCAAACATTCGATATAAACAGCAAGCCATTTTATTTAACTTTCGATCATTTCAAACACTTAAACAAGTCTGGATTCCCAACATATATCACCTCCTTCATCGTATTGAACATCACTAGCCCTAAAACAACACTTGTAAACACTGACACGTGCAGGAACAATTATTTTTTCAACTTGTTTATATATAGCTAAAGGCCGAGCACTTACTCCTTGTTTTCCATGAAGTCACTCAGCTGAAGTTTTTCCTCCTTCTTTGGTGATGATTCACTTCCCTCTCCAGTCGATTCGTTTTCTTCAGATGAAAATTTCACTCCCTTTTTCTTCTTCTTCTTCTTCCTTTTCTTGACAGGTTCTGCTTTTTCACTAAGCTGGCCTCGACTTGACAGCCTACTGAAATTGCAGTCGTCCGCCATGGATAAGGCAGTATGCAGTCTTACTCTCCGCTCAGAATCGCTTGATCCAGGATACCTTCAACAGATCCGAGTCATTTTTTGTATTACATGGCAAAGTATGATAATTCTTACATGTGAAGTTTGAAGTGCCTATATGAAAAGTTTTTTCTGGACTAACTACTGATAAGACTGGTAACAGCGTTGCACTAAAAGTTAAAGTAAGAAGAAAAGTTGCGGCATGTTATGTTGGCTGTTACATCCATTGTGAAGTTCAAGTATAACATGATTATGTTTCATACGATCCCATCAAGTAAACTATTCAATCCTCCGCACTTTCTTGCCATACTATTAGCTTGAGATGAAAAAAAGACTGAAATCGAAAAGTATTAAATATTATAACTTAGAAATACGACACATGACTTTTAACCACCTGCATGCTGCGTAAAGGGACGATAAAATGCTGCTTTGTTGGATGTCTGATGAACATCAAAATGTTCCTATTCTATTAAGGTCAAGTGTCGTACCCAGGCAGGGCGTTTTTATGGATTTTTCAGCAGTGGGGCATTTCTCAAAGGGCCACACTCGCGACAAAAATGTTTACGGTGCTGCAAATTGCAATAAGCTTCTGTTTTCTCTAAAAATACCCAAGTGTTGTTGCAACAGCTAAGCGGGATGTTTCACATACATTTCTTGAAGACATCTATTTGGTTAAGTTTTGCTCTAACCAAGGACGTTAGCTGAGGGAAGTTAACAATCTAGCTTGGAATGCGGAATTGTAATCTTGGTGTTTTCATGTGATAAAAATGTTCATGACGTGATTATCATGAACATTTTTAATTACCATGTGATAATTATCAAGCTGTTTCGATGCCGAGTTTTTTCAGGATTGACACGCAGTCTCATTAAAAAATTCTTACAGATTGCTAATAAACCAAATTGGAACCTTTGTTTATGAAATGTTCAAGATAAAGAGCCTAACTAGAAAAGGGTTGTCTATGAGAAATTTCTAACAAAGATCTTATTCTGGAAGCATGGCTACAATGATATCATTTCAGTTTAATCGTGAAAAGTATTGCCGAGAGGTTTTGGAGGTCCTGTGGTAAAATGGAAAGATGATGCCTTTTGCGAGCGAGGCAAGCAGAAAACTTTTGGTGGCCATGCCCTTTAGCTTTAGATTAGCTAAAAATACATTTCAGAATATTTTTTGGAGACATTTTCTTGCAATTGTTTTAAACGTTGTACAAAATTTAGGCACAATTTTGTTATCTTCTACTAATTGCAATCTTGAACTGAAAACATCGAGGGGCCTCCTAATCCTCAAGGCCCTAGGGCACTTTTCTGTGACCCTAGTTGTGAGTTTGTAGTTTTGGTGCTTTTAGAACATTTTAGATCATGGTCCCAAAAGGTCACCCCCACTCTCATTACTCATTTCGTATAGCACTTTAGTATTTAAAGGGCAATTTTTGGTTATGCAATTGGCAAAAAGGGCAACTTGGTAAGCTACGAAGGGGCATTTTACCTGGAATTTTGAAAAGTTGGGGGAGTGCCCCCTGTGCCCCTGGTCTCTACGTCTATGAGGCAGGACGATAGAGCCTTTCAGGAATTAGACGAATTAGACAAACCCATTGTTAAAACCCAATAGGGATTACGTTTGTCACTATTTTGTCATGTCTCAAAAGTTAGTGCGACCGGCCCGATTTTCCAGCACATTTGCATGATGTTTGTTCTTTTAAAAGGGCCCTACAATGGCCTAGACATTTGGGGTAAAAGCAGCATTTCGGTCGTCAGTGGTAGGGAAAGTTGGAGGACCTGGTGGGGCAATTCCCCTATCACTGAGTATGTAAAAAAATGCCCTGTACCCCGGATAAGCTGGACATTCACTAAGTCAGACCAATTCTTTACGCCGTTTAAAGGCCATTCGATTGTATGCACGTTTTTACATAGATAGCCCTCTGCTTGGTCGCAACTGCAGTTTTCTATTATAGAAGAATAGTAAAGGTATATTCTCAAACAAACATCGTTGAAGAAAAACTGACGACTGCAATACCTTTTAACCCAGCGACTCGGAGAATATTGTAATTCTTGACTAACTACGACTTTTTTCGCATGATGCTGTGTTGGAATTGGTGTTGCATTTTTGGTTGCTCTGCGAATAGAGATCATTTGTAAAAATGATAGACAAATTACTGGTATGATTTAAGTGAGAACAAGGCATAAACTATCACGATGACAATGTTCTATAATCGCCATGACAGGGTCTTGGGGTCTTGGGGTCCATTACAAACGAAGCAAACTCTCCGACAGACGATGACAATAAAATAAGTAAATAAATTAAGTACAAAAATTCGATAGACTATAACAACACGACGTTTCGAGCATTAAATTTCTTCGCGAACGCGAACAAATGATCCCTTAAAATTTTCATAAATCGAAACTCGAGATATGATTTCGTTTATAGCTATTTCAGATACGAATCGACATTCAGAACTTTTTTTCCAAAGAATCAAGAAATGTTGACCCATGAAACATTATCCAAAAACCTTTCTATGAAAGAGCCATATAAGAGATTATGAGTGATTTATTAGACATAGTTTAAAACGATCGCATATCCTACATGAGTGAGATCAATCTGTATGGAGAAATCTATCTTCTTTCGAAACAACAATACTTGACAAAGGTACTAAGATCACCTAAGCTGTGTCAATCAACTTTCGATTTATTTTCGTCCCTTTTTATCCAAAATAATGTTGGGATCGCACCTGAGCTATCCTAGTTTTTTAAAATACCCAGGCTTCTTTGAAAGTGGAGACGGAATCAGCTTCTGTAAACTGCTGTGGTATGCTGAGCATTTTCCCTTTTAACTTTGTGTGAGTGATTTGAACGGACCGTAGTCTCTAAATTAAGCCCCCTGGTGCTTCATTAATTTAGGACTTTTGGACTTTTTCGAAAAACACTTACTTAAGGGGTAGAGAGGGGGGGGGGGTTAAAAACTGAGCTCTCGCAAAAATATAATAATGTGTTTTGAAAGGGTGTGAATAATTGTATTTTAATCTCTTCTATGATTAACGCAACTCTCTTTACATCGAGTTTACACTTCGATATCTATGTCGTTTTATTCGAGAGGATGCTTTTTGAGGGGGCGCTTTTAAGAACATTCATTTCAGTTTGTTTTAAATATTAGCGCTTGTCAAAGGATAGCGCTTTTCCAAGGTGTGAGTTAATCGACTATAAACGCTTTATATATAAATTGATGATAAAAATCAAACAAACTTGCAGAAAGAAATTAGTTCAAGCAAAGGTTGTTTAATTTTAGGGAGAGACGATTTATTGAACCTACTTTTCCAGTTTTTCAACTTCCATTGCTTGAATTCCCAACCATATTTCGCGAAGTTCCTCTTCAGCCTCTATCTGAAGATGAAATTGAATGGGACAAATCAATGAAACAGTTGACTTAATGCATTAACTTGTAAATACTAGAGAATACATAGTTTACTTTTTTCTTTCTAGATATTCCAGATTCCACAGACAAAGAAAATGCTAAATAAATGAAACTTTTACGAGGAAATGAAAAGGATCCGTCGAGATTAAATATAAATAGCTGTGAAATTTCAGTAGAACCTGGCTTTAACATATCAATTGGAAATCACTTTCAAACCTTATTTAGTTAAAGAACTCAATGCTGTAAGTTTCTTAGAGGATCACAAAATCAAGAACTTGGAGCAAATTGAGAAGCAAATAAAGCAAAAAAGAGTCTGGATAAAATTGATATTTTGTCTATTCTTGGTATTTCAATTTTACCGGGTGACATGAGTTTGCAACCCAATTTTCCAACTATATCCTGGCATTTGTTGAATAGTTGTTTAGATTAGAGTTTCGTTGGAGTGCCAACTGTTTTAAGCCCATCAATATATGCAAGTGACGCATGCCCGACATGATAGACATGTTGCCCTTTGGTACTCAAAAGTGTCTAGTAAGAGCACGAACCCACAATTCCGTGATTTGACATCGTTCTAGTTAGCCTTCAGTTTCCAGTTATCATTTTACGTAAACGAAACCACGTAATAACGTGCAGCTATGAGCATGAATACCCTAAAAGTACTAAGGCTAGCGATGAAATGATAGATCGGAAGTTTATGTACAATTTTAATAAGACGTAAGGATGACTCAATGAAAATTGATTCTTTTACTTATGAGAGCACACGCATAGCTATCATAGATAGAAAAACAGGAAACTCTCTGACGATAATTTCGAGTTTTAAAGCCCAAAACGGAGTCCAAAAATAGTTGAAGAACCAATATTTGCCACCTTCCAGGTTTCAATGAAGAAAGAGCATGCCCTTTCAGGGCCAAATCCATCACTGACTTGACCTGGCACAGAGGGCAAATACTTACACAAATATCTACAGTAATCCTCGTCAGCTTCTTTTCGTTTCAAGCCGAGAAGTTCTTATCCTAGGCCAAATCCAAGCACGACAGACCCACATAGACAATGGGAATGTCACTGTCCGGTAAACAGTAAAGCAGGGCTGGTTTATACAGATGGAGACTGAGATTATTACTGGGTCACAATATCAGTCGAGCATATGAAATAAAAATTAGATACCTTACTTAATAGTGAAATTAAAAAAATTCTGTTTTTAAGAGATGTTCGGCAGCATTTGAAGCACTTCTGATGATAGACCCAACAAGCCCTAAATTAGAGTTACAGGATTTCTTATGAAAAGCTGCTTATGAAATTTAGCCTCATCGTGATAAATGCATGCAGAAGTACAAGCGATGCGCTAACCACTCGGTTACATTAATATGTGAGCAATAAAAAACGAAATATTATGATAAAAAGAAAGTTTAGGTCAATTAAAAAGCAGAGTCATGATGATTAAGCAAGAAAAATACGAAGTTTTAATAAAAGCTAGAGCCCCTTACTTGTAGGTCAGAAAACAGCAAAATTGCAGCCTCCTTTGTAATCTCCCTTGCCTCGGTTAGAAAAAGCCGCACGCGTTCCACGACTTCTTTTTTGTGTGAAAGGAGATAATTGGCTATGGAAAGATAAAAATAAAGTTGATAAAGAAACTCGGATGTCAATCGAGGGCTAAGAATTTTTTAAGGTTGATTTTTTAATGTTGATTCTAGCAATCGCAAAATAGATCTCGAATACAGGTTCCAACACACGCGGGCTTTATTCTTGAAAGCTGGGACTGAAGGCAATATACAATGTATGTTAAAATTGAATGAAATCATCAACGAAAATGGTTGTCAATGCGGGATAAACAGTACCATCGTTGATATATGTATTGAAGATGTTCCAAGCGCTGTAAACGCGATATAGTCGATCCTCTTTCTTGTCGTTTTGCTTGATAAAATCATCCACGTCGAGCCAAAACTGCAAAACCTTCAACAGTGTCTCCTCCCCTTGCCTAATACGAGAAATTGCGATTGTCTTCAAATAAGAATGATTATACATTTTGAGATTAAACAGGAATGCAGTTATTATACTGGTGGGAGTTGCAAGCTATATGAGAGAAGAATGACGCGTTTGCAGAAACGAACCCCGTTAAATATTCTTGGGTTTCTAAAAGACCTCTCTTGGCCATTTTTCGGCTAACTTCTACTGAGAAACAACAGAAGAAGAGAGCGAAGTATCGCGTTTTCAACCTGATTTTGATGAATTCATAATGTACATATCTGTAACGTAAGTAGATTTGCTAAAAATAACGGAATCACAGAGCAGAAACGGCTACTTTTCAAATGGGCGAGATTAATCTGTGATGTACAATATCTTGGAAAATATCATTTCAACGACCTCTGAATAGCAGGCATCGATTGATGCTACCTCTTTAGAGTAGATAGAATGACGATTTGTATTTTGTTGTGAATAAGATCTAAGACAAAGTAAAAACAGTAAAATCTATTCTAAACAGTAAATGCAATCAGAACAGGAAGAATGCTTACTTCTTCAAGGCTGCAAGAAAGGGAAATCCGCTTTCCTTTTCAGCATTTAATGCTAATCTTAAAGGGTCTTCAGCAGTGCTAAAATTAAAAAAATCCATGTTAAAAAAACTTTTCCAAAAATTCAAATAAAAGCTCAGTAAAATCTCTTCTTCACTTTCACGCACAAGAATCATTTCAATATGTTTATTGCACACTGTAACATTTATTCAATTCTTGCGCACAGCTTGAGACACAAATGAAAGCGTAGAGGCCACTTAACAAATTCCTTATTAGGCAACCAGAACACTTCTGTTAACCGTTTTCAGGAGGACCCATTTGAAGAGTTTGCCCCCGGTTTTTTATTTCTTTTTGGTATACCTAAATTTTCATCAGTTCTTTGAAGAAATACCTTGTAATAGATATATAGAGTGAATACACATTTCAAAACAGTAACAACAAAATAATTTTACCTAAAAAGCATGCTGGTGCTCACCTGTTTTCAGGTATGTTGAGAACCTCTTTCTTGATGTATCCAGATGTTATTCTACTAAAATTGCCTCTGAATTTGTACAGTGATGTAAACGACCTTTCTCGTGCCTCTTCTGACAACACGTGACCAAGCGTGGGAAGAGATCTGACTACACATAATGATGGAAAAAAGCTCATGGAAGATACCAGACGAGGAGACTGTTCACTGAAATTGCCATCACTGGAAGAAAACATAACTTTAGAAGCATTTTAATCAGAGTTATAATTCTGCAAATTCTGCAACATGCTGCAGCTGCAATGTATAAACAAGCAACGATCTGCAACTTAATAAAGGAAGTATGGAAGCTGATTCAGGAGTACTGAAGTTTAATCAGACCAAGATTGAGAAATCAGCAGACACCTTGCAATATATTGCAGTTTATTTAGTGTGTTAGGGAAATAATTGTTGTAAACACGATGAGAAATGTATTTTTACTACAAAAAAGAAGCTTGAAATCGCATATAAATCAAACTAGCTTTCGTAAGTCATGCAGGCCAAAAAACTGAATATTTTCGACCAGTGATACCACTACTAGGGTACCATACTTCAAAGAACACCTTTTCAATCTTTCATATAGTCTTATGTCTTCAAATTTAACGAAACTATTCTTAAGAATCTGAATAGCTTTATTATACAAAAATAAAATTTAATAAAATCCTTAGCAATCATACTGAAGAAAACTCAGTTCAAAGATACATTTTTTAAGTCACACATTATGCATTATGTTCGATAATTTTTAACAAAAAGTATCAACAGTTAAGCGAAAGCCATTATATGGTTAACAGTTGCTTCTAGGAATAGACAAACATACACTTTGTGTTGGCGTTCCAAATGGACCAAAAATCTCGGTAACCAGTAATATTTCAATCTACAAAGCATATCAGCTTGGGCATTTAAGAAGAGATACTCGGAAAATCCTTCGTTCTCTAATGCATTGTTGATTTGCTCCTGTAAATAAAAAAAAGTACTTTATTTATATAGTCTTTTGCTCGGTGATGTAATCTTCTGGAAACCTTATTCAAAACGAGCATAATTGACTCGTGCTACGAACTAACTATGTTTGCAGCACTGCCAAATCTGAATACATGAAAGGTAATGGTAGATATTTAAAACGCTGTCTCTTACTTGTGCATCTTTCGTTAAATGTTGCTTATATCGATCCTTTATCAATCTGAAAAATACAAAAAATATTTGTCATCATAGGCGTGAAAAAAATATCAAGATAAGATTACGTATAGTTTGTGGGGCTTTATTGATAAGAGAACCATATTTGCGTTGAAAGGTTTTGCTTGAAACTACTTCCTATTAAGCCATAGTTTATATATAGACGATAGTTTACCAGAAGGTACGTGACATGTCCTGAAGTAACGAAATGGCAATGCATCAATTTCATCTAATATTTACCGAAAAAGACGAAGTCCAAACTGTCGCTTCTTTTCTGGCGCATCTTCCCAGCCAGCAACTCGATCCTTGTAATGTTCAGTATCCAGCCAAAATTGTAGAAGGTGATAGCCAGAGGTTTCGTGTAGAAAGTCTTTAAAGGAATCCATACCTTCCATCTACAATGAAACAAAGCATTGATAATCTTTGAATCATTTTAAATTTTCCAAAATATGTTTTAAGGAAACCCATTTGCTAGACTTGAGCTGTGTATAAAACTGTTCTTAAGAGACGTGGGAATGTAAGAAGCACTGCGTGCACATCCCATTTCTTGGAAGAAGCCGGTTTGAAAAGATCTGCTTTTATCATTAATCTACTTCCGTGATATTGAACACAAGGATATCTCATCAAATATCAGTTATCAGTTAAAGTAGCAAAAGTTTGCAAAATGGGTGTGGAGCAGCTGCAGCTCTTCTTGAGAAAGGGGCATTGTCAAGATGTCTTGCAATAGTTGCAGTACTATTAAAACCCTTACTATGTCAATGTCGTCTAATTCATCTAATAAAAGTCTTTGAAATGAAGGCTTTACTGTTTACTCAATTCCCTACCGATCCCAATGACTCCCTTTTGAGCTCCTGTAACGTCAGTTTGCGCTTCATGGATATGTCTTTCATTTCACTTTCAGCCTGGTTTTCATCCACGCTGCCATCATTTTCAAACTCAAGCATACTTATTCTTCCGTCCATGTCATCAAGACACAACCCTGTTAACTCAGCCTCAAAATCATCATTTTCTTCCTTTCTTGCAAAATCTTTATCTTCGCCAAAAGCAGACGCTATCTTTTTATAAAGAAGGTTTTCCAACTGTTTACCTTGAAACAAACGAACAAAATCAATAAATCGCTTAACAAATGAGAAATGCATTATTGTTAATTGACAAAGCTACGTATGTCAGAAATTGCAAAAATAAGAGCAGGGTTTAGGTGTTTATTTTTAAAGAGCTGAAGTATATATATATTGGTAGGATCGGAAACAGCAGCAGCGTCATCGATTAATGGAAAAACAATGTGATCGTTTAGAAATCTCAAGTCCACAATAAGTGTGTAAGTTTGTGAAAGTCAGTATACAGACTTAATTAAGTAAGCTTCCAAAATCTTAGAAGCTTCAATACCCATTTAACTGCCCGCTACTAATACCATTGGCTCTTGTGTGGTGCTTGTAGTCAAAGTAAAAGGGAAAATTGGATGTTATTGAACTAAGCTAACAGTGTCATGAAATCTTAGCGTCTGGCGTGCAAATGCTCAAAGATCATCCTTCACATCGGTTTCCAATCTTTCATGCATGTCCTTCAGAGCATTACCACGACATTTTTTACTTGAGGAAAAGTCTTTCTAGGAACAAGGTCAAATTTTAAACTGGATGTAGGCCGGCCTGGATAAATGTGATAACAACATATAGCCCATAACTTCACAGCTAGCCCATTTAAACAGTAAACAGTCCATGACCTTTTTCTCGGATTTACTCTGTGTGGCATTAACGACATGGATTACTTGAATCTAAAAATCCAAATAGGTTTCGATTCGCCGCAGATAATGCATGAGCACTCAAAATTATTAATGATTAGAGCTACGTGATGTAGGCAGCTTTTGAAAGAAGGTTCACTGCAGTAACAAATACTAAATAAAGAGCCACAAAGAGAGTACCCTGGGCACCAGAGCCTCAAAGAGTGGAATGGAGTATAGCAGGGGAAAGAGGCTGCGAACCTTTCCTTCCCAATTTTCCTTTGCTATTTCTCTCCACTGTTCTTGCATCCTTTGACTCAACAAGACTGTGGTACCCGGGATACAACCGAACGAATGACTTTGGGAATCAGAATCTTACTAGAAATTAGCTTAACTACAGAAGGTTTATCTACCTATTCATGACACTAAATGACAGAAGATTTAATGCAATATTTTGCAAAATATATAATTTGAGTGTTATCATTGGCACAATAAACCTACTGCACGCAAATTCAATGCTTCAAATACCTTTGCCTGTTATAAGGTTAGCAGAAGAAGCTCTGTAACCCGTAAAAGGAAAACTAGGAGCTGATGTAGCACGGCTGTGTACCAAACCATACTCATCCATGTCCCGCGTCACTGGCCACGACTTTGTGCTGGTGTTACTGTCTGGTCTTGATTTCAATGTTCTTTTAGCTTTATCTGGAGAATTTGCGTCTTCGGTTTCATCATCTTCATCACCATCTTCAATAGCAAATGCAGTGATAGACATAGCTGATAATTGTTGACAATCCTTTCCATGTAAAAGATATTTACAGAGTTTGTATTCCAAGAACTGCTTCGACCTAAAAATATAAATGAACTACCATAACTATATTTCACAGCTCCTTTAATACACACATATTAAAGACATCGTCATTATAACCCAGGGATCCGTAGTAATATCAACATTGCCGCCAAATTACCATCAACGCAACATTTGGGGGTGAAAATTCATGCAAAATTTCGATAAAATAATAGATACACTCATGCATTCAAACTAGACATATTTTTACTTCAAATAGCTGTTGGCGGAATTCCAATTTAATATAACTTGACGTGAAAACTGATTTGTACATGTAAAAAAATAACATGTTACGACGTTTCGAGTAAAATTCTTCGCTTCTCAAAGCAACTACCGTAACCTACCATTACATTTTACGTAAAAAGTCGCTTTTTACTTTTAATCGTATCAACTCCCAGCCAGTGAGGTAAAGCAAGCTTATCTACATCGTTTTTTCGCAGTTTTAAGAATTTCAGTTTGAAATCTTGTTTAGAAGCTATTTCTTTTAGAGAAAATAATTTTTTTCATTCTCCTGTTTACATATAAGAAATTATTTTAGATTCTACATACTTCAAGAAAAACGGTAATCTGTTTTCTTTACTCCACTTGATCAGTGCTCTGCTTTCTGAAACTACATCCCTCTTTTTTAAGTTTCCTGGTTTTGTGACCAGGTCGTTACTTTTGGAAAACAATGATCTCTGGAGACTGACATCGGTCATGATATGAACATCATTGTCATAAAAGAGCTTTTTAGAGAATGCCTAGAAGAGAGGGAGTAAGATTTTTCAAAATGGATGCTAGCAGAGAATCTTCAACAGGCTAATTTACTACTTTTACAAACACAAGAAGAGGAAATACTTTGGAGGATTATGACCACTTTAATGAGGCTCAATGCAAGGTGTGAATCATTTTTATTCAACTTTGTAACAAAAAAACATATCGTAGTTTTAAATATAGGGCCATTGTTGATAAGAGCACTTGGTGTGTTGATGAAGTTACCCTGCGTAAACGTTTCTTATGATGATGATTATGTTTATTATTATAACACCATAGCAGATAGTACAATTTTAAAAAAAATTAGACTTGCTTTCTTTTAACAATGATAGATAGTGCAATTATCAAAACAGAAAAAACTTCTGGAGTCTGCATTGATTCAGTAAAAATATATTTTATGGTAGTCAGTAGTAACAAAATTATGTTGAAAAGTTACTTTCTTCATCTTTATATCTTCATTAACTCAAAGTTAAAGGCTGAATTTTTAAAATAAGTGTTTCCATCAGTTTCAAGTCACCTTAAGGATGTGGCACAAAGTCCAATCATTATCCAACATCCCCCCCCAATCCTTTCCACTTAAATCTGTCCCTGGAAATAACTCACACTTTTCAGGTTCTGCTTGCAACAGTTCTATGCCTCTCCAAACATAGGGCTCTGGCTACACAACTATGTAAATATATTTTTAGTCTTTTATACTACCAAACACCTGATAGGGGATTGATCATCCTAGTTGACTCCTTGTGATTTATATTTGCCCCAGTCATTCAACAATTGCTTTATTGCTTACAAGTTTATATTTTTACAAAACAAATACTAAATGCCACCCATATTATGCTAAAATGCTTGGTTTTAAAAAAACTAATCTCAACTTTTGCCTACTCCCCTAACTTTTTTAAGAATGCTATGGCAGTATGATTATATTTAAATTGTCATTAAGCCTTAACTTCCCCTTGTTCACAAGTTACATACTTACTGGTGACAGCAAGAAGTCATTGAAATATTCAGCAAACTGTTCATCTTTTTTCAAATACAATTCATACTTTGAAGCTATCAATCTAGAGTCTAGAAATATAAAATAGATAGAAATTAAAACAGAACTGCCTTTCTTTGACTAGTAAAAGATACGGAAGTCTAGATCAGCTGCAGGCTGCTAGAACTAGAACACTAGCCTGTGTTAACAAACTTGCTTGCTTTTTGCTGGCTTTATTTTTTCTTGCTTGAAGTTATTTTCAACTTTAATCAAAGAGGGTTTGTATTGCTCTCTCGGCTTCATTCTGCTTGACTTGTATTTAAGGGCAGCTTAAAACAAGGAGCAATCAGAAAAAAAGGCTGCTGAAAAATAAGATGGGGTCATGGCAACAAGAGACATGTAGTTTTCAATAAGATAAATTAATCTATAATTGTAAATCAGCCTCGTTTTTTACTCAACGGCCCTCCACTTTAAAGTTTAAGGCACAGGACCATGTGGGAGCTAATAATAAGATTCAAGCGCCTACAAAATTAGAGTTTAGCCACTTGAGAGCTCCTACTTGTATATAGCGTTTAAGCAATTCAGCTGCACTTAGACTAATTAAGCGACAAGACCAATTAAAGATAATTAGAAAAAGATTCTCGCTGAGAATTGAGAAGTGTACATTGGTGTAGTGCTTAACAATTTTGCATGCCCATTTAAAATGCCTCTTTGTTTGCATCCCCGTTCCTCACTTTCATCGGATCTAGTGCTTTGTCTATAGGCTAAGCAGGCTTTGCGAGAGCAAATCAAACTGAAAAAGTGAAGGACTGCAAAATTAAGTCATTGCTGGAAATGTCAATTGGCAGTTTGTGTAAAGATCATCAACTCATTATTGTTCGGTTGTGTTCAAAACAAGCCAATGGGCCTAAGCACCATTAGCCATTTTAATTGTGCACGAAATTATCTTTGAGGCTTAGCAATTGAAGGAAATTTAAAGGAAATGTCCATAAATGTCAAAAGTTATAAAAATACCTTTCATTTTTGAAGTTCATTTATTGATCAGAGATGCTCTTTCACGCGAAGCCATTGCTCATTTTTGGGTTTTCTTTACTTCTGATATCGAGGTTTGTTGTGAACAACCCGGTTTCCAAGGAAACAAAAAATTTAATTTCAGAGGAAGATGGCGAAATCCCGAAAAGAACTTCTTGATGCTTCAGAACTTCTTCAATAGAATTTGGAAAAGGATAAACGATAAACAAAAGAAAAGAAGGGCAATCTGTAATAATATAAAAAATATGTGGATCTACCTTCATACTTTAACTGTAAGGTGAGGGAAGTGACCCGAGAAAAAGGGGGTTTGGCGGCACTGCCCGGAAATTCATTTGCAACCACACCATGCAGTTTCGATTGAAAGAGCATCAATTTATATTGTTGCACTTATCTTCTGGAACCATCGGAAATTTTTGAGCATTTACTCTGCTTTGAAGCGTTTTTCTTTTAAAAGTACTTTCACAAAGAAAATATATAGGCTGGTCGTAAACGAATTTCCAGAGTAACAAACGCAATGAGGGAAAATAACTTTGATACTCAAGCTCCCTGTTTTGCTATGTGCTTATTTTGTTTAATGCGCTAAGACTGAAGTTTTGTTTCCCGCATTAAGATCTGAACCTAAAATGTTTTAACCATTCCGGCCCACATCCAGTTTAAAATTTGACCTTGAGTAAGTCGAATTGCAGCCTGAATCGGTGAAGGCATATGCCAGTGAATGCCTTTTTGAGGGAAGGGATTGAAAAGATGTAATATCGAATGGTGACAAGATAAAATAGTTTTTAGCGAACGTTACACGAAGGGTAAAGATGTAGAATCCGTTGATGAGAACTTTCCTTGAGATTCAGAACGAGGTTCCGGAGCGAAAGCGTCTGGGCTTTCACTTTTAAGGACTTTTCCTTAGACTAAGGAAATTTCAATATTTCTAAGGGGATTTTTAAGGAATTTATGTTTTTGAGGAATTTTTAAGGAATTTTCCAAATTAAAAAAATTAAAAAAAGATATTTTACAAAATTACACAAATCTACTATGCAAGTGCTGGCAGTGCTGTAGAAGTGTCGATTTTTGGCAATTTTAGAAAGTTCGTTTCTAAAAATTTCATGCACTTGACTATCTGTCCTACTGCTTCTTACTTTCTGCAACAGTTTTAATAGCATACCATCCAGCTTGGTTTGGTGTGCATGAATTCCCATTCCCTTCATGCTTTGATTGGTGTGCATTAAACCAATTAATGTCTGGCACTTCAAACCGCTTCTAAAAGATGTCTTTACGAGCTTCAAAGAACTGAACAAACGCTCAACAGATGCATTTGAAAAAGGTAATGAAAATGCCTTGCTACCACTTGCTACCTAAGTTTGGATACTTATATCCGCCGTTAAGCATCTTAGCTTCAAGCCAGTTTTTCCAAAATGCTGTTGCTATTTGATTTGGTAGAATGTAGATGCCCTCTTCCAAAGTTTGCTGCCACCATCCCAAGTCTGCACGGCTACTGTATGCTACATTTCTTATAACCTCATCGGGTGAATGCATCTTGAAGCGATGGAGACTTAACATCGGACGGCATTTGATGGCAGTAAAAATTCCAAACACCTGAACACTAGCTGGTTGATTTGAAAGCGTTTTCTGATTTACTTGCCTAACTCAACCAGGAAGGCAAGGCATGAGCTTCTCAATTTCAAAGCATTCTCAATGTCACTGCATGAAGATAATGTGCTGGTAGTGATTATTCCGATATTGACATCTTTCAGCAAATCATGCTTTGACTTGTCTTTAAACTCTATTGTTAAGGTGTCACCTGCTCTTAAAACGTCTAACTTTAACAAATCTTGCATGATGCTGCTCAACAGTTTGACACCTTCTGCTCGAAGATGATGCAGCATTGGTTCTGTTGTTCCAAACATGGTGTTAAAGTTGTTCAGCGGGTGCAGTTGGTATTGCATAAATTCTAGCTGCGCTTGAACAAATTGGTTACATAATGCAGTTAGTATTTACTCATGGATGAGTCTCTTCCATTTACAAAAAAATCGATAAAGTAGAGCTGTAGGAGCCCATTGCTCCAATATTCTTGGAATGCAACTTTTTAGGGAAAACCATCTGGTTTGACCACAGCTCAGGATTCTGTGCAGTCCCATATAGCACTGCCATCTTCAACTGAAATCATGTCAAAAAAACGTGTGACTGGCGTAAATTCCATTTCATCCATGTACATTATGCAGATGCCAAGTTGCTTTTCAGATAAATGTCAGTACTCTCATCAGGAACAGTACTGAGCTTGGCACTGAAACAAAATTATGCAGATTAAGGAAATTTATGCATCTAAGGGATTTTGGAAAAATTTAAGGATATTTTGGTGAAATTCTCAGGATTTTTATATGAAGCAAAGTGAGAGCCCTGGACAGCTTATCGGATTCACCCGTTTACACGAGATGGAATGTGGTACGGGACGTATCGGATCACTTTTCATACCACTTTCACAGCGTGATTTCACCCCGCAAAAGGGGCGTATCGGATTAATGCGGGGCCGTGTAAATGGGACCCCTATCCGATATGAAAAGTAATCCGATACGTGAGTAATCCGGTATCGTGTAAATGCAGCCTAAACAGAAGACCTATCTGGTTATCTGGTATGAAACAAATCCGATCTGAAGTGAATCCGGTATCGTGTAAACGGGGCCATAGGTAGTTCCTACCTCCTACCCTAGGTACCAGAGCCAGAGCCACAAAAATTTAACGACAGCAAAAAATATTGAGAACTGCGGAGGCGAAAGGTAGTTTCGTGAAAAGAGAATTATTTTCGTTTGCGAAAGAGCCAATTGCATGAGAGAACTAGCTCACGTGAGACGAAGCGAGCCAGGTCTCGTCTTGTCACCCACAACTTTTCGTTCAATTCGATGTTCAGCTCCAAAACTCTGTGGTCAATCAACATAAGTTTTTCTTGGAAGACACACATTAACAAAGGTTAGTGAGACAGGTTTTTAAGAAGCTTTTTAAATGTATTAATGGTTTTCGTGCTTACAAATTATCATCTGTACAAATCCTTTGCCTTCATTAACGGCCAGACATTTCGTTAATAATGTATTAGGCCCATCTGGCCTTCTTCTCTTCTTACTGCATACAACACGTAAAAGAAGCGCTAATATTGATAACATCTGGCCTACTGGCATTGCTCATATGCATATAAAATTAAGTCTCTAAGCTTCACAGCTGATTGGCCTTTGCTGCTCAAGTTAAAATTCACATTGAAAGCCGTGATTGTGCTGACAGGTTAGGCCATTCCACTGCATCCTGGAGAAATGGTTTAATCACAGTCTAAGAAATGGATTTTACGGAAAAATGGTTAATCACATACTGTGCAACGGATTAAGGGGCAGCCCTGCTGGTGCAACATAAAGATCTAGAATCCAGGCAACGAGAAATGGGGGCACATAACCTCCCAATGTCTAGAAAACCCCACTGCGTATTTGACGTGTATTTACATCTTACCAGGGGCGGCGCCAAGAAATTCAAAGTGGGGGGGCTCGAGTTGATAACATGTTTAGAATAAAAACAAAGTTTTGAAAAACGCACTGAAATGTTTCACGATATTTTATGCTTATGATTTTATGGGGCACTCGTTATGCTAGCGGTACATTGGAAAAGCGAGAGGTTGTAGGTGGCCTTGGGTATATATCCAAAGAGGAGGCTTCCTGCGAGTGAAGCGAGCAGAAAATTTTTGCAACCACGCCCTCTAGACTAGCTTGAAATAGATTTCAGAATATTCCTTGTGGTCCTTTTTTGCAAACGTTTTGCTATTTTTAAGGTCCTATTTAATTCCAGTCTTAAAATGGAATTCATTGCTTTATGGGGCACCATAGACCCTGGCTAATTACTTTGAAATAAGGCAATGCGTACTTCATAGATCTACTTCCATGCTGTGGGGACTTTTGGTGGAGAATCCTGTCCAGCCTTTTTTAGCTAAAAATTAGAAAAATAGTTAATCAATATCTTATTTTGCTGAAAAACATTAAATGCCCCGCAATTAAAAAAACCTTGTAATCTCAGGTTAGAAATAAAAGCTAGGGGCCAATTCCTAAGGGAGCAATGAACCTTATATTAGGTCTTTTATGTTCCACCTTTTTGCCGGAAAGGTGCTTTCTTGCTATCAGAAATTTTTCCATTTTTGCATAAAAAACCCTTTTTGCAACCACTTTTATAAGAAAAAAATTCATTTTTGTCAGAGTTAGTACCAAAGCGAAAGTGAAGAATCTGGTTCACATAATCTGATTAACCTTCTGTCATCTGAGCTTTTTGACTGCATCAACAAATCACAGGTCACCTAGGGTCAGGGAATGCTCTCCTAAAAATATGACATCCAGCAAGACATGGTACCTCTCCTGATTGGTGCCACTTTTGTCATATCAAGTACCTAGATTTGCCTAGTTAACTTTTACATTTCTTGACCTGTGTAATTTAGAGGCCTTGTTCCTTTTTGTAAGTCCAAAAATAACCTGGCACCAATTTATACAAGAATACCAATTCCCAAATCCTAGAACCACCTTCTCTTCTCACAAACCTAACATATTTGGGCAAATCTGTGCAAGAGCAGCAAGCTACAAGGCAAGCTTTTACCCCCACTGTCTATTTGAGCGGAACAAACTCTCCCAAGAACTTTTTATGCTGTTTGATCAATGGCTTACTAGAGCTGCCAATGATTAGTCAATGAACCAGCCTCTGATATAATTCCATTGTGTAATGTATATAAATGATAAACCATTTAATAATTGCAGTGGAAAGCACATTGATAAAGTTTATTTTAAGTCAATTTAGAAATTTTGATGGAAAAGATTGGTTGTTCTAATAGTATATAATGATTCTGATCACTTTTATGCTAACAACATTATCATTCTGTTTCAGGTAATTAAAAATGGATCCCCCTCCATCATACCAGGCATCAGGTTATCCACCTCAACCTGGCTATCCTCCAGAGCAGCCAGGTTATCCGCCCCAGCAGCCTGGCTACCCACCCCAGCAGCCTGGCTATCCACCCCAGCAGCCTGGTTACCCGCCCCAGCAGCCTGGTTACCCGCCCCAGCAGCCTGGATTTCAATCAACAAATCAAACTTCCACTACAAATACAGTGGTTGTTACTTCCCAGCCAGTAGTAACAACTGTGATGCCTCTTGCTTTTGGTGAATTTCCAGTCTCAATGACCTGTCCCTCTTGTAGAGCTTCAATAGTAACAGCAGTTGTCACCGAACCTGGAACATTTGCCTATCTGCTGTTTTTCTTGATGTGCATTTTTGGGTAAGTGTAGACCAAATTATTATTATTATTATGCCAAAAGGCAACCCCCAGTTGAAACATATCCGTCCCTAGATGTGGTTTTGCATATGTAAGAGACCTACACTTGTGTTGCAATGTAGTAGCAAAAGTTTTACTGGATAAAAGTTTTATATTACAAAACAAAAGGTGTATATTTCAAAACAAAAGATTTCACAAGCAAATGCGACCAAGCCACTCTAGGAATTCCTAGAGAGAGCACCTTTGGGGGAAATTCAGGCTTTCATTTTGGGGGCTCAGGCCCACAATTTTTGTGATAAATAACATCTTGGATCATACCCAATTTTAAGGAAAATGTACATTTTGATGAAAATGAGGAATTTTTGGGCCCTTAAAAATTATATGCAGACCACGCCCTTTAATTCAGTAGCTGGAAGAACAAACCATTAATGATTTTTGATATCACGATTGATATCTCATCGAAGGCAATTGGTGATACAAAACCTGGTTTCACTATTGACAAAGCATGATTCCTTTTTCAAAGTTTGCAAGTTTGTTTACCCCAAAGAAGTACCGCTTTTTTTATCAATTTGTATTGGCTCATTGCCATTCAATGATGTGATAAGATTTCACACTTTTTCAGATTTTGGATTTGTTGTTGCATTCCATTTTGCATCGATTCTTGTAAAGATGCAATACACTCTTGTCCAAATTGCCGTGCACAACTTGGTGTTTACAAAAGAATGTGAGAAGATCCATATGAAGGAAATATTTTACATATTTACCCTTCATTTTACATAGCTAATTCTGTAGTTAATTCTTATGTTTATTGTTGATTATTTAAAGTCATTGTAATTTGCAAGATAAATTTATGGTAGATGTGGTAGAATAATCTTCAATCTAAATACTATTATCAAAGTCTAAGGTTTGGTATATTATAAGAAACTCTCTTGCAAGAATATTATAACCACATTCTAACGAAGAAAAATTATTGTTTAAAAAAACATCCATTTACTGTTTTTCCCCTCTTCTATTTTTTGTGCCATATATATATCATATCCATTAAAAGTTTAATCCTTTATATCTCATCAAAACTTTGTGAACAGTGAATTCGAAAATTTTTTTTGCGGTACAGAATTTGACAAAAGGAGTTCAGTTTCTCTCTTGGACTCCATTGGTAATTTTTCTTTATGCTTGCGGCACTGATTGGTCAACTATACCGGTCTTGTGCTTGCGTCTTTCTGATTGGCCTATTTTGATCCACAACTGGGTATATATTTTCCATCGTGTTTTTTCGGAACCTTATTCTGACGTTTTATGCTCTGAGGAGTGTCAGACGAAAAGCTTTTAGTATGTCGTAAAATGTTTGCTTTTTTCAAAGCCATTTTCAAATAGTGAATTCGTACAATTGCCATGAATTTATCCTTTTATTTAAGTCTTTACATTCTATTTACCCACAAAATTAAACCATAACCTATAAAGTTCCCAGTTCACGTAGGATCAATTACTTGTTCTGTTCTGAATCCTATGTACCACATACCCACAGGCCAATTGTCTAGATTTTGCTGCTATTTTTCTGAATCTGACTAGCAGACAAATGACCAAAAGGCTATTGAGAAAACACAATTGTAATATTGGCATGCTATAAGGCAATGTTTTGGTGGCATGATGATCAATTCCAAAAAACATATTTTCCATTTGTCTGACCATTATCATTCTGGTAATTAAACATTTGTACTGGTTATGGTCTCACCCCCAAAGAATTAACAGAGAGCAACATTTTTCACAAAAATACACTTATAGTTTACAAAGATAAGATCTATTGGTATCAAGGTATATAAAATTTTATATTTCGTGGATTCTGTTTGTAAATTTTACTGTGTTTATGTGGGATGTTAATAGAAATCATTTTTCTGATTAAAACTGTCTATGTGGAAGCATTTGTATTAGTGATAAATTACACACATAAAAGTAATTGTATTCAGAGAAATGCACTTTTGTTACTGTTGACCATTCTATTCATGTCTTTATTTAGTATTCTCAAAAATTAGCTTAAAGAAATGTGCAAAATCAAAAGCATCAAATCTTGGACCTAGGCATAGTAGACTGAAAATTAGCCACAAGCTTTTTAAAACACTATTTCATTTACACTCTTTTGTTCCATGTTTTCTTAGTTGTCAGAAACCTTTATAAGAGAATGTAAAGAGGGCCTTGCATTTTGGCAAAGATCTAGAAATAGTATTTATGCAGAATGTGTCATAGTATCTGAAGGAACAGCCTCGTTTTTGGCTTTTCACAGTAATAGGACCTTATTAACTTTATTCTTTATTGTTGCTTTTCTGTTTGCAAACTTTCTTGTTTAACTTTGGTAAATTGTTCACATTCCCTTAAAAAATAGTCTGTTTTCTCATTTTTCACATTTTGTGGATGTGAAAAACCTAATTTCTTCAAAATTTATCTCTTTTTCCATCTCCAAATATTTTAAAAATATATTATTTTAAAATTTTTTAAAATTTTAAAAACATAACATAAATATAATTGACTATACTATTTTTGTAGTCAATCAGGTTCAAGGAATTCAACTTATGTAAGAAAATTTTGATTAACAATTATAGCTTTGGCTGGGAACTTGTTTTTCATGATAGATTTTTACAACAAAACGTTAAGATTCAACTTTAAGTTGAAAGCTTTACTCTGAGATTGATAATTTCTGACACATGTATATTTGGCTTTAGGAAACATCTTTTAGTAAGAATTAACAAGAGATACAGTCACATTTTATGTGTTCTTCAGGCAGTTTTGAAACTGAGGATAAGAAATGTTACAATATAATTGCAGTGGGACTCCTTTGCAAATAACTTCTAAACGTTATTGAATAAAAGGCCAGTTTTGAAAAAAGTGCGTCTTAAAATTTGTGCTTGAAAGTAGAAAATCTCCATTTATCTTTTACCACTACTATTGAAAAAATATTGCCAATTTACTGGAAAAAATATTGCCTTATAGAGAGGGGGCTTCTTTTAACTTTGGCTTGGTACGGCCTAATGAAGCTTTTGCGGTATGTTGGGAAAAATTGTGTTAAGCATTCTGTTAATTTTGGGAAAGTCTATATTTGCATCAACAAAAGTTTTTGTCTTTTCTTTAATCTTTTCATTTTCAAAAACTTGCAAGGTCATATATCAAAATAATGTGGTTAATTATTTTAATCCTTATAAATAAATTTTTAAGAAAACAGAATATGAAAATGAATGTATTAATATGACAATGGAATATAGAATATTTTGTGGAGTATTTGAATTTTGTGGAATATAGAAAACATTAAAGTAAAAGTGTATTTTGCTTCCAGGTTGGACTCGTATTTTGAGCCAAAAGATACTACTTCTAGGTTTTTTAATGAAAACATTGAAGCAAAGACCAGTTTAAACTACAATTAAGTACAAAATTGGTATATCTAACATAGCTGTAATGATAAGTTGCAATACATGAAAATAACGACCAAATTGTAAATTTTATGATTTTACTCAACATGATTCAAGAGTCTGTGTCAGTTTTGTATGCCACGACTGTGTCTACTTTGTGTACCCCAGTTGAAAGTGATTTCAGTCTGACTTCTTGTGAAAGGGCAATGAAATGTGGGTCTGATTCTTCCCAATCAAGAGGTATTTCTTCATCTTTGTCGGTATACACAAGAACATCAAATGAACCTAGTAAAATTTTGAATTGATAAATAAATACCAAAAAGGCATTTGCTGTTAAAATTTCTTGGTAATCTTGTAGTTTTAAAATTGTTGAAGCAAACATGTTAAGTAGGCGTAAGATAAAAAGCAAAAGATCAATACATGACAAACTCAAAACAAAAATCATAGAATTCAGAAAAAACAAAATATTTAAGGCAAATTTTAAGACAGATTATATATTTTTATAAATTCATCTGAGATAGTTTATTATCAACTAAAAAATGGTACTCTCTCGTGAAAGTGGCATAAACTTATCAATTGTATCTTGAGGCACTATTAAAGTGATTCAATACTTACATCTATCTGATATCATTGGAAGAAATGTAACTGTTGCCACAATTTGTCTGATAATCTCTCTAATTTCTTTTTGAATATCCTTCAGTGGCTTATCTTTGAAATAGCTTGTAAAATAAAAAAGATTATTATTGAGGTTGTCAAAATTTAGAAGAGATGCTTCTTCATGAAAAGAAACAGAAAAGAAAAGGTGCATTTGTCATCAAGTTAAATTTGTTGAGATTTATTGTCAGATCACTAGACAGAATCATAAAGTTGACTTTGGTAAAATTTTGTAATGCTCCCTAAAGCAATACAGTAAGAGTTTTAAAAATAACAAGACTCTGGTGTTGTAAGATTTATACAATCTTAAAAAATGGTTAGGTATAGGATAAGAAAATTTGTTTCTTTTGCAATTATAAAATAACCCAATGTTATGTTCAGTTGTTGTTTATGAAAATATAATGTTCTGGTGCCCCACTTATGATGTTTTCATACAAATAACCTCCACAAAATTCGATTTAGTTCCATTCTTCTCATAAAGCCTCTCTTTTCTAAAAAACTCCACAAAGAGACACACCTCAATCTCTTACAAAAAGAAGGCAAAGAAAATATCAAGAACTAATGTAGATTATGTTGCTTTTGTGTAATATGTCAAGTTTCTTTGTCCCCTGTTTCATTTTTAAATTCTTTAGCAGCCATCAAGAGTGATACAAAGGAATTGGTATTCCTGGAAGTCTATTTTCAATCCAACATTCTGGAAAGATGCAGCTATGAGAAAACAGCTATAAAATTTCAAAAGCAAAATGATAGATCAATTTGACTTAACCAACTAATTGAATGTTCAAGTACAGTGTTTGAAAACCCCTAAATGTTATGAACTGAAAAGTATAATTTTTTGTAAAAAAGCTGACCTCTCTGTTTAGTGCAACTCTTTTCACTTATATTGCAACTCTGTGGGATGGCAAACAGTCTGCCAAAACCTAGGCACTGCTTTGTGGTGCGGTTCTTGGTGATTTTGCTTAAAGAGACTGACAAATCTCTAAGACTTGTGCATACTTTTTTTCACACTTTACTACCTCCCACATGCATTGCCACTGAAAGCCTAATTGCTGACCCTAGATATGGGGCGAAACCAATCTACAGCCAACTGTTTGAGGTGTCAATGCTTTTCTTTACTTCACACCAGTGACAGGCACTTGGGGGGGGGCGATGGCCCCCCCAATACTTTAGAGGACAATGGTCTTTTGATTGAAAACAATGGGAAATACGACGTCATCTTATTAAAACAATAGGCTTGCCCCCCAAATATTTGACCAAGTGTCCGCCCCTGCTTCACACTCTCAGTTTAGCTTAGAGCAAAATAAGCCTGTGAGGTATAATTAATGGAGATTCATTTAACAAATTTAACAAGCATTTACCTGACATCTGTTGATGCTGCTTTGTCACATTCAATGTCAAACTGCCATCTCTCTAAATCTTCATGAGTGTCAATTGATGTTATAACTAAAACAATTTTCTGTATCGTTTTGGAAATTAGCCATGCTGTCAGGAATAATAAATAATAAATAAATGAATAAGCAACATTTATATTTAATATGGAGGAAACGTCTTGAAAATGAGTTTTTTGAAGACAACAAATATATGAATCCAGGCTTGTAACTTGCTAGACTAAAAATATATGAAACACGGTACCATGTTTAACTTACAAGGATTCAACATATTCCTACAAAATTCTTAATTTTGCAACCAGTCTAAGAAGTTCAAATTATCAAGTTAGGTAATATCCATCCTAAAAGCTTTTGTGGCACTTTTTGGAAAAAGTAACTCCAACTGACCTTGAATTTGCCTTAAAATTGTACTTATATAATCTTTAAGGTCTGCTTGATCTGTCATTTGCATTGGGAGTCCATAGTTTGTTTCTCTTTTAAAGGTTTCTGGTGCATAGATCCCTCTTTGATACAGAATGCTAAAAACTCAAAAATGTCATTAAAGCTAAACAGGCTAATGATACAAAACATTATAAATAGACAAGAAACTTCTGAGACTTTTTAAATTATTCCACAATTAATTTTTATTTCAAATAATCTAGAAGCCTTTTGAAGTAAATTACCAAACTTAAAATTCAAAGTCAGTGATGGCATTACAAAACCATTTTCTCATTTTCACTAGGCAGTTGTTTCCAATATTTTCCTAAGGCATTTGTTTCTCACTGTGTGTGATTGTCTGTTCTGTTCTCACTACATTTCCTCCTTTTGTTTACAGCAGGGTCTGTAATGTTTTACTGTATGTTAAAAAAATGGCACACTTGCATAATTTAAATTACATTGCTCAATACCTGTCTAATGATAAATGTTTATTTGTGTAAAAGTATAGTTTTAAAGCTGTATATTTTTAGTCTAGGTTAAAGCACAGAGTCGAGTATAGCATTGCTCCTTGACTATACAGTCACCTACAGGACACAGTGACACAAAGTTCGAATAGAGCTAGATTGACTGCTTTGCCATTACTCACCTGTTTATTGCATAATCTGAAAAAAAGAATGAAATATTGATGATTATTGATTATTGGCAATTTAATCACAAGGTCTTTTCAAAACAAGGCAAGTTGATTTACAAATTTTTAAACTGTTATGGATGTAGTAGATTCCTAGGTAAGTCATTCCACATTGACACAATGTGGTTTTAAAAGAATTATCCATAGTTTTACATACTAAGCCTGGCTCAAATTTCTGTGGTTTTGGGTGCAACAAAAAACAAATTTAATACACACCATTGAACTTTGGTGTGCTATGTTTGAAACTGATCTAGCTATTAGGAATTTGATAAAGAATAAAATATTTATGCTATTATTTATACAGATTGTAAAGTTTTGAAAGTTGGAAGCAACTGTTAATGAAATGATAGATAAATGTTACTGCAAACCAGATATGAAGAGATCAATGTTTATCACCAAGAATGAGAGAGGAATATCTAGTATTAAACTTTGAATTCCTTGTGCATACAATAAATTTATCATGTGCCACAAAATTAGAAACTTTTCAACTTGGCACATGATATATGCATGATTTTACCTTAATATTGACTTCCTTAGGCAAATCTTTCAAAGCAACCTGGATATGAACTGGCCTGGTTTAATTTCATTCTTTCCATTTGAAGTTTTTAGAGTGGATCCATCCAGAAACATTTGTTTGGGCCATCAAATTAAAATAAATAAATTCCATTCCATACACAATCAACAATGTATTTGAGGTAATATATACTTAACAAAATCAACTTTAATATGATCATAAGAAGAATGAGAGTTCTGATTCCTCGTACGAGCTGCTCGTGCTTTCAAAATCAAAATTTAATAGTTGTTTTAGATTGAAGATGGAGTACTTCTAGTTCAGAACCTCTTTGCATTGCAACAGATCAGATACATACTGAAATATTCTACGACCATCTCTGCACTTCCCTTTAGTGTAACGATGTCCTTGCTTTTAGCTACTGTAGCCGCCATTCTTTTAAAATTTTTATATAATCCAAAACAACAATTAACTCCACATTGACTTGCTTAAATCTTAAATCTGTTTCGCGCGCTCAATAAACCCCATCTAGTCTCCTAGCGATTACGAGGCTTGAAGAAGCCATATTGAATACAAACCACGAGACGAGTAGATGGTGGACAAGGAAAATCAATATAATTTATTTTACTTGAAATAAGAGACGTTCAAAATGAGCACCGATAAACGATTCAGCAAGATTTTGAAGGACCCTAGGTTCAAGGTAAGTATTTTATGGCCTGAAGTGGTTTTTGCTACTTCTATGTTTCTGTGATGAGAGCCAGTTTTCAGGCAGTTTTTGACAGTATTCAAGGGTTTGCTTATGAATTGATTTGCTATAAGAGTATAGATGATATAATTCATTAATTTGCGTGTTATGATATCTCTGTGCTGTGAACCGTTTTTATTTAGGTTCTTGAGTTTCTTAAGCAGCAACATACACAACATATCAATATCACCATATCATATGTACATATTTTTTTAAGGTCACCAGTTTATGCTTGAAATTTAGTCTTTTGAAAGTTTATTAGCTCCTTTTAAGTATTCTAAGATTTCTCAGAAACAAGTGCCTCATCTGCTACATCAACACAAAAGAGTGTATAAATTGTTCTAAATGCTAATATGGACTTTGGGTCTGTATTCTAAAGCAAAAAGACAGTGTAAAAGGAATGAAAAGCTGTTTCCCAGTTCCAGCTGCATTTATTACAACAATTATGAATATACAAGTGTGGTGCCTGCTCCAACCGGGCACCAGACTTTTAATGTAACTTGATGAATCATTTTGATTTGATTTAAGTAGTAAGCTTCATGAGTGTCCTTCAAACAAGGGTTTAAAACATGGCCGCTTGCTGAAAATGTAAGGCTGAATGTTAACTGGCTGAGAAGCTGTCGTGTCTTTAAAAAACTTTTATCATCACAACAATGATGCACTGAAACAGCTTCCACTTGCTATCTTAATCTTGATTGACAAACCCTATACTGCGGCTCTACCATATACTGGGGAAAACATTACTAATATGGATGTTTCTCTACAGATTTTCAAATGATTGGTTTTTCATGTCTTTTTGTCAATGTGCATGAAATGCTAAAAATTGTATCCAGCCTAAAATTATGGTGATAAAACAAATCTGAGCTTAAAAAAGTTGTATAATGAAGTTTGGAGAAATTTCCAAAACAAGGCTGTAAGGGTAATTCCATATCAACTTGACACAAAAAAATTGGATTGGACACCAATGTCTCAGATTTTTCTATAGTTTTCTTCAAACTGTTCACCATGTCTTAGAACCACTACAGAAAAAATTTCAGCCTGCTATAACATCTTGTGTCTGGGATATTGCTTTTTGAATTACGATCGTTTACGCCCTTAAGAATGGTGGCAACGCCCATTTTTTGATGCGGTCCATTTTCAAAAATTTGTCTCTAATTTCTTAACCAAATGACATTTTTAGGTGAAAATTTCCAGTTTGGGGTAGTTTCATGCGCAGATTTCAAGTATTACATTAAAAACACAATCCTAGCCATCATTCATATTTCATTGATTAAAATAAACTTTAATACATCATATGCGGAAATTGAAAAAATGCATGTCTTTGTTTGTATATAATGTTGGGTGCGGTCAATTAACCATTTTGAAAATTTACAGAACTGTTGTCCATAGGTATAGATATATACTGAAGAAGTTATGAGATGGTAAGTTGTCCTTTTTAAGAAAAAGAAGCTTTTAAAGTTATGATATATTTCTAGGTATACAGATCTAGGTATAACTTGAATACCCTTCTTCATCTACATTGTATTTCTATAGCAATATAAACAGATTTAAATCAACATAGATAACTACACTGAAATTATATGTCATCAATTTCTCTTTTTGAGAGAGAGAAAAGCCTATACCTGTAGAAAACATTTGATTGATTTTATATATATAAATATATATTATCAAATGCTATAAATGCATGTAGTAAATCTGAATATTGTATATCTTTGCTAGATTTATGTCCTCAAAGAGATCCTTTATTGAAAAATTTCCCCTAACTTCCTTCAGAAGACCTTTTATTTTTTGTTATATTTCCTATACCTTCTCATAACTGCCCACTAGTAGTTTCCCTGTAACTGTTAAAATCATTTGCTTCCTGTAACTGTTAAAATCATTTGCTTCTTGTTTTTGGTTTCTTTTCTTAGATAATAAAAATTTACACATTCATGCAAATATCAAAATACAGTTGTTATGAGGCCATTCTCTAACTAACCACAAAACAAAAGGTATTTTGATGATTATTGAAGGGTAAATATTGGTCAACAGCTTGGCAGAAATTGCTGGGGTACCATAAAAGCCAGACTCCAATACCCATGACCTAGACACTAACAGCAAAAAGGATCCTCAACACCAGAAGGTTTTCAATTTCCATATAATAGTAGTTGATCACAGTTGGTTGTGAGCATCCTACAATCCCGATTTAATCTGTTATAAGTCATTTATCAATCTAGATCCTTTTGTTGTTGGTCCTCAAGGGTCCTGTAACAAAGGATCTACAGTCTGGTTTTTACGGTATGCAGACAGGCATGATTTGTAGTGTATGATGTTATGTGATGACTTATATTGTGGAGGTGCTTCCAAATCAACCCATGTGATGTGATGTAAGGCATGATGAGGTAATATTTATTTTGAGACATGTGTACTCATGGGCAGATTTATCAGTTAGGAGTCAGTTTTGGTTTAGGTTGCAGGTGAGAACACAATTTAAGAAAAAGTATGTCGGTTAAAATTTTGGAGAGCTGTTCTCTTGGTAATTTGTTGGGGAGGTATGTCACAAACTAAATTTTTCAAAGACGTCTGGTTTAAAATTGCTTGCAGAATGAAGCAGTGACGAGAAATATCTTGTAATATGGAGAACAGGCTTAGAAGACAGTATAGGCAGCACAATATGTTATCATCACGAGCACACAGTTCTTAAGAGGTATGCAAGTACAAAAACAAAATGTTGCAATCCGTTCAAAAAAGAAAAACACACTGCCAGAGGCTCCTTGAGAGAGATTGGCTTAGAAACTGCAAAAGAAATGAAAATTTTAGGAATCAATGTTACTCCTGGAGACAAATTATGTCCTGCATGCAGGATCGAAACTGACAAGCACAAAGAGTAGCTCCCTACAGGCTCATATTCTTCCAGTAAAGTAGACCACGATGATATCAATGAGCAAATGGAATTGGAAATAAGTGTTGAAGACAGTAGAGAATTTCTGAGCTCTACTCTTAATGAAGCAGAGGTAAGTCCATTGAAGTTACATGCTATTGGTCTATAATTTCCAAGGAAATCGAACAAAAAGCCAACGATTTAGATATCATGGAAGGTCTGATGAAGGAGAAAATTGAAGTATCATCTCGGAAAGTCAAGATACAAATTTTAACGATGACGCCTTTCTCATGGACAGTAAGAAAAACTGCTAACTTCTTTGGAGTCTCAAACTACATGGTCCGCCAAGCATTCAAACTGCGTAAAGAGCATGGTATCTTTGCAAGCCCAGAGCAAAAGAAAGAACAAACATTATCAGATGATGTTGTGCTCCTTGTTACAGATTTCTATTGTGATGATGAGAATAGCAGGCTACTTCCAGGGAAAAAGGATTATGTTAGCATTGGAAGGAATCAACATATGCAGAAGAGGTTAATCCTTTCGAATCTAAAGGAGCTCTATTCATCATTCAAAAAGCAATTCAATGATATCAAAATTGGCTTTTCTAAATTTTGCATGCTCAGGCCAAAATGGTGTGTAACTGTTGGGGCTTCTGGTACATATTCTGTTTGTGTCTGCACTTCCCATTAGAATATTACGTTGGCGCTCAATGCAATAAAGCTAGACAAGGATTACCATCACCTGTTAGAATTGATTGTTTGTAGCAGAGATAAGAAAGAATGTATGATCCATCTTTGCCCTAACTGCCCTGAAATTGAACCCCTGAAGAACTACCTTAGAGAACAACTGAATGCGAGACCCAGTGACCAAGATGAAACGAGTGCAGATGCAAATGAAGTAGATAATATCTTCGCTGAGGAAGAGGATTACAGTATAACATTCAATCAATGGACTAGCACAGACAGGGCAGAGCTGATTAAACAAACAGCACCACTTTCAGACTTCATAGAGCTTGTGGCTGAGAAGTTAGACAAGATCACTGTTCATTGGTTCATAGCTCGCACCCAAGGGAAGCAGTGTAAGGAAGACTTGAAAGAAAGCGAAGTCATTGTCCTTGTTGATTTTGCTGAAAATTATAAGTTTCTTGTACAGGATGAAATACAGGGATATCACTGGAACAAATCACAATGTACCTTACATCCAGCTGTTGTGTACACAAAGAGGAATGGTCAGTTGGAGGATCACTCCATATGCTTCATATCAGATAATCTAAATCACAATGTAGATATGGTGTACCAAATTTTAAAAGAAACTTCAAAGCACATAATTGAAAGCATCAATCCTCAAGTGAAATCTGTCAACTACTTCTCTGATGGATATGCTGGCCAATTCAAAAACTGTAAGAATTTTCTCAACTTATGCTTCCATCGTGCTGATTTTGGTACTAATTGCACATGGTCTTTTTTTGCTACAAGTCATGGCAAGTCAACATGTGATGGTGTTGGGGGCACAGTTAAAAGAATAACATCATGAGCAAGTTTGCAACTACTATTTGATAACCAAATTCTAAGTGCAGTTGAAATGTTTAAGTTCTGCAAAGAGGAAATCAAAGGAATCAACTTCAAATTCATACCAAAGGAAACAATGGAAGTAACAAGGGCAAACCTCAAGACAAGATTTTTGAATGCAAAGACAGTACCTGGTACTAGGAGCTACCATCATTTCGGTCCCTTGTCCAGTTCGTGCATTGGTGCAAAAAGAACGTCAATTGATGAAAAATATGCCTTAAAATTTGATTTTGCATTGGAAGTAGAGCAAATTTGCACTAGCTTCCCACTAAATTCTTTTACAATCTGTCTGTATGACAAGGAATACTGGATCGGGCTGGTAGAGGAAATTGATTCAGCTCAAAAAGACATCTTGAAGTAAAGTTTATGCATCCGAATTGCCCAGCAAGGTCGTATTCCTGGCCAATGAGGGATGATGTATGTTGGGTACCAGAGGAAGACATACTTTCCACATTTAATGCCCCAACAACAGCAACTGGAAGGCAGTACAAACTACTTGCAGCTGATGAGGAAATCTTTACCAAAATATTTATGAAATACCATTGATAAGGACATAATTTCTAGAGCAAAATTAAAATGGATTCTATTACCCGTCTTATTTTCTTGATAAGCTTGATTATCAAGAAAACATTTTGAAGCAAAATAACATCTAGATCCACTTATATTGCTATAACAATACAATGTAGAGAAGAAGGGTATTCAAGTTGTGACTACAAGTTGTTCTGTATACCTAGAAATATATCATAACTTTAAAAGCTTCTTTTTCTTAAACAGGACAACTTACCATCTCATAACTTCTTCAGTATATATCTATACCTATGGACAACAGTTCTGTAAATTTTCAAAATGGTTAATTGACCGCACCCAACATTATATACAAACAAAGACATGCAATTTTTCAATTTCCGCATATGATGTATTTAAGTTTATTTTAATCAATGAAATATGAATGATGGCTAGGATTGTGTTTTTAATGTAATAATTGAAATCTGCACATGAAACTACCCCAAACTGGAAATTTTCACCCAAAAATGTCATTTGGTTAAGAAATTAGAGACAAATTTTTGAAAATGGACCGCATCAAAAATCGGGCGTAGCCACCATTCTTAAGGGCGTAAACGATCATAATATAAAAATCAATATCTTAGAAAGAAGATGTTATAGCAGGCTGAAATTTTTTCTGTAGTGGTTTTAAGACATGGTGAACAGTTTGAAGAAAAATATAGAAAAATCTGAGACATTGGTGTCAAGGCTGTCTGAAATGATATGGAATTACCCGTAAGTCAAGTTGGTGTCTAGGGCTTTGCAGGTAAGGTAAGCTTTAATAAGTCGTAAGAAATGTTGAAAGTAGCTAAATCTAAATACAATGTACTGGAGACCTGCTCGCACATATTTTGGGGAAATTAACACATTATAAGTTTGTATAAATTTAGTTATTCGCATGGTTAAGGAACCAAAGTAGATACTTAGAGATACAGTAAAACTAAGAGCCTTGTGGAAACAGACAATTAGGAACAATGAATACACATAGCAAACTGTAAGTTAAAAAGATTGGTTTATTAATCAGTATTGTTAGATAAATGGAACAATTTCATATAAAAGATTGAAATAGAGACACTAAAGTAGAGTTGGAGCAGAGTCACTCAAAGTGTAGGTAAAGGACGAGCAGAGTAGAGTCACATAACAATTTTATGTGGAATTCATCAGGAAATTAAAGATGTACAAAAACGTTATTGTCTTTTTCTTGGGAAATTTGGTTCACTTGAAAACCTCTTTCGAATCATTAGAGTGAAGCAATTACTGCAACATATGGCATAAAGGATTACATATAGTTAAAAATTTTTATTCAAGTATGATGACTGATTTTTTCCAGAGAATGCCAAGAAGATTCAGAAGGGTCAAGATAGATTCGAGATTCAATTCTATGTTTTCAGATAGTAAATTCAAAACAAAATGTGAGTTATTTTGTTTTTTGAAACTGTTCTTAACTTGAAAATCATTAATTCATTAGCTTTTAAAAATTTAAGTTTTCTTCTTCTCAACTTACTTCTGTAATCAGGCAGCTCTTAAAAATGTGTTTGTTAAATTGTATGATTAACTGCAGTAATAATTTTGCAAACAATTGTAATCATAATCTGTTTCATATAAAAAAACTTTGAGCTTGATATCTATTTGTTATTAATGGGTTGAAAATATCTTGCTTTGCAGATTCTGTGGACAAAAGAGGGAGACCAATAAAAAGAACATCAAAAGAAGACCTTGAAAAATTCTATGAGGTCGATAAAAATACTGGTAAGCAAATATTATTATCTATTAGAACTTTTGCTGATTTTTGCATTTTAGTCTAATAACAGTTTTTTCCAAAGCTACAGGCCTGTTGTGGCCATTATTGTTTATTTTCATACACCGACCCTGACTTGGATTCGTGCTCAAGGCTCTGCATGTCAATAGACTTTTATTGAAATTCTTCGACCTTCAATCACTTTTAGAAAATGTCAACAATAGCCCCTGCTAACATCTCTGTTATTAGGGTGTGTTTCTAATAATGTGAATTGCTATTTCCTTTGTTTTTATTCTGTGTATGTGACATATCATCATAGAAAACAGGGCATAAAGCCATTGTATTTTACTCAAATGTTATAAGCCTCCTCGGTCTAATAACGCATTCCAAGATATCGACCGCTTACTTTGTGAAACAAATCGCAAACCAAATAACTACAATAATTCAAACAGGTTCTGTGCACTGGGCTGTTCCTCAAATTTTTTCCGTAATTTCAGCTGGTAAAAGTCTAAAGCATGAAAAACTTTTCCGCTTATAAATGATGGCCTACCTAAATACTTCTCTAATAAATATCATTGAAGTGTTAGCGAGACATTTCCATGGATTTGCAGGGAAGAAATAGAAAATAATACTTATTTTTGTTGCCCCAGTCTTGTGATGGTAGATTTTCTGAAGGTAAAGTTAGCAAGTCTTTTTAAAAGTATTGTTTAGATCTCTATTATATACAGGATGTTCTGTTCTTTCTGTCTTCTATGGTCCCGTTATTAGAAAGCCATTTCTAATAACACAGTAGCGGAAATGTTTCCAGGCCCTTTTGATAAAACCCATTGAAGGTCAGCTGTGCCCTTAGAAGGCATTGCTGTAGCAGCCCATTCCTGTGCAATTGAGATGCTGTTATTGAGGTTGGCCTGGAATGAATTGGGGATTGTAGTTTTGAATTAAATTTTGTAAGGCTAACAAAACCACCGCTATATCTATGCCCTTAGTCTACATAATTTTTCTTTTTTGACAAGAAAACAGACCACATATCATGGGCTTGAAAGCCCAAATTCCCTGACAATAATGCCAAAGCCCTCAATGCCTCCACTGCTTGGCTGACTGATAACAGTTTATTTCTGGTGCCAGCCGCCCCTGATTATCACAATATTACAACAAACTATGATGAAGTTTCTAACTATCAATATATGCTTGAAATTTATCTGCTGAAGTTTCTGACTACTGCTTTGACATATCCTTAAAATTTGAAAAAAAACAAGAGAAGAAAAAAAATTGCTTAGGTCAGGAAGATGAAGAATATTAATGACATCATGCCTTGAAGTGCCTTTCACACCTGAGTTTCACCAAAACTGGTTAACTTTTTTACCAAAAAATTCAGTAGCATAGTGTGACTTTTTCAACTAGGTATTCTCCTTTAAAGAAAAGAGTGGGGCAGGGTGTGGCTGGGTGAGGCTTGCTTTGAATTGATAGAAGGTTTAAAGGACTAGTCAATGCCCTATTATTTAATTTTATTACATAGGTTGGCAAGTACTGCATTGTCAGAGTTTAACTATGATGAAACAATACTTTGCTAAGGAATCCAACACAAATAGACTTCTTCAAACTTGTCCATTACATCGAATTACCCTTAACGATTTCATAAATAGTAATGTTGCATAGCCCTTGTTGAATTCCCTAACATGTACTGGTGTAAATAGGAAGTAACTGTAAACACCTACTCTTGTTACCGTAATGCAAAAAAACCGCTAGAAGTATTTCAAATTATGCACAGAGGGAATTTTATGAATTATAAACAATTTGCAGTATGCAGTCTAGAAATTTTTCTCTATGGCCAAATTTTTGATATTTTTTATACAAGATTATGTTTTAAAGAATCAAAGGTAATGAAATGGGACTGCACAAAAGGTCATCAAATAATGCTAACAAAATAGGTAAATATAAGTAAATGCACCAGGCAGTTATAAGGAATTTATTCAAGCCTATCTGCATTTACTTTATTTTATCACAAAATACAAACAGAAGCATTCCCTATTGACTAGCAATAACAAATTTGGAATTTCAAGGGCAAAGAACCAAGTGTAGTATTATGTAGCAGTGTACCTTTCCTTTGCTCTTTATTGTTGGTAGATTAGGGCTCAAATGAGAGAATGTTTTTGAAACAACTATACCGACATGCAAAATGTCCTTGCAATAGTTTTTAGATATGTAGTCAGATTTACTGTTTTTGATGAAGCCCTTTTAACTCCAACCAATCTGATGTCCATTAGCTTTTTATATTGATCTCATATGAGACTATCTTGAACCAAATTTGAGACTATACGCTGCATATTTCTCAGCATACATGATCATAGTTTTACTGATAAATGGTGAATATTGTTCGTGAAAAGGAGCATTGTGATTGGTTGATGTACTTTCTAGGGTATTCACTGTGTTTTCATGACAGATCTCCATTCAACATGAAGTCGCTCAATCTTTGACATTAGCTTCAAAGATCTCCTAGCTTCCCTAGGCTATGTGTGTTATTGCGGTCTTTCTTTCCCATGAATTTTATTATTTTTGTGAACTTGTACAATATGCAACATATTGAAGGCAGCAAATTCAGCAAGGATCAATAGCATTTTTAAGTTATTACAATTTTACCTGGTAGAAGCATTTTTTTAAAAAATCTTAGGGTATTCACTGAATGTCTGAAATACCCAGACACCATGCCACTGAAGAAATTGCAGCAAATTTTGGCAGGAAATTGAGCTTTGCAAAGCTGTCAATCAATATTGCAAATATAGTAATGAAAAGTGCAAACATTCCTTTTTCCAACCAATTCCATGCAGACATGCTGCTGTAAAGCAATGCTATGCCTATTTGACAATGCACTGAATGATATTTTTGCTTTGGAAGAACTGTTTAAGCCTTATCAAATATTATGATTCTTTTTTAATTGATTGCTGACTGCTCCATCCCAATTTTTCCCCAAATAACTTGTCGTCATGATTATCTGCATATGCAGCAATTTTGTCAGGCAATCTGAAGATGCTTTTTATCTTTTTGCCTTTTTTGAATGCCACAAAAGCTTGACTTGTAAGTAAGCAGTATAATATTGTACTTCAACTTTTTTGTAGTAAATGAGAATGAAGATGCTCCTGTGGAATCCTCAAATCCTGATAAAAAGTAAATCTTTAGATTTTTCCATCTACGTATTTATGCTTATATTTCCTATTGGTAATGACACTGTTGTATCTTTTTCTCAATTTGTGCTCAACTTGTTTTTTAGATTTGCAAGTACGTCAAATGCAGAGCTTCCCCTTAAAAAAGGTAAGTGACTGTTATGCATGATGTTAGAACTTTTTTGTCATCATTCTAAATCTCTTGCCTTTCTTTTGAAGCACACCGTGGCATGCATGCATTTTATAATGTATGACAGTTTTTTTCTCCTAACCAGCAGTTGCCAGAGAGGTATTTATGGTTGAAGAGTAGGCAGTTCAAATTTATATCTTTAGAAAGTAAATAACAGAAATCACATTGAATAATTATCCCCTTTTCCATGTTTGCTGCTTAAGTCTATCCCTTGTAAATACAGTATATAGAATCTTCAAATGCATAGTTTTAGCTGTTGAAAAATTTTGTGGAATATGGCAGAAATTGAATACTTTCATTTCTTTCCAAGCATTGTTAGATGTCAGTGAGTCAGATTCTAATGATGATGAAGATGATGATGGTGACATGGATTTCTCAGATATTCGTGGAGGGGTAAATTCTTCATCATCATCAGATGAAGAGGAGGACCTAGATACCATTGAAGATCAGGTAATACATTACTTAACTGTACAACACTCATGAAGAATTTAAAACTACATGAGGGCAAAGCCAACCATGTAATTACATTTTTCCTTGATGGTATGAAAACATTTTATCACAGTAACCTCTTTTATTAGGTAGTTGATCATGACTGGGGCGAGCTAGACAAGGATGCCACAAGAAAAGAAAATGCTGTTACTTCAAGACTGGCTGCTTGCAACTTGGATTGGGACAGAGTTACAGCAAAGGATTTATTTGGTGAGTTTGATTTAAATTAGTTGCAACTTCTGCTGAACCAAGTGGAAAGGAATTTTTGTTTGAATTACTTCAGACAAGTTTATGAAGAAAAGAGGGCATGCCATTCCAACGTATTTTTAGCAACTGCATGGTATACTGCATTGTGCTGCTTTCATTGCTGAAATGAATTTTAAAAGTTGTGGCTTTTTAGACACTGCATTTTCAAAGTGAAGATTTTCACTCAACCTTTGGTTGAATGCTTGAACTTGTTTTAAGCCTTCAATTAATGTAATTTTTTACATGCTTGAATTAATTCTACATAGATTTAGTACATTTTGTTTTCTTCTAGTGTTGTTCAGCTCATTTGGTGGTGTAATTAAGTCAGTTAAGGTAACTTTTAAGCACTCTGCTACCATTTAGAACTTGATTGGATTGCCTGTCATTAAAATGAGACAAGATGCATTTTTTGAAAGAATTACCAATTGGGATGTCACTTGGCACTGATCATAAATAATTCAACAGAAACACATTTGGTTATCATTAAATGCTGAAAGGAAAGATACTTAAACAAGACAACAACAAGATCTAATCTGTAGAAATTTTGATTGGACAAGTATCCAGTTAGCTCTCTTTGTTTTATTTGAATTTTTCCATGAAAAAAAATCATATACTTTTGTGAAGATGATTGTTAATGATGTAACAAAACCACATATAGTCACTTTTCGGAAGTCTGAGGCATTACTTTCCAAGTTTTCTTATTGTCAATCAATGTTTGTCTGTCATGTGTAATAATTTCATCTTCATGTTACTTGTGTGATCCATTTTCATGTGTTTTTCAGATTTACCTCTCTGAGTTTGGTAAACAAAGACTTGCTGAAGAAGATTTGAATGGGCCAAAAGAACTTGCTGATGAGATAGAGGAAGATCAAGAGGAAGAAGGAGACCCTAACAATGTCGAGGTTATCTATATCATAGTGAAATGATAGAGCTTTTAGAAATGCAAAATAATTTTGAAAGAAATCCAAATAAGCCTGCAAAACTGTATTAGCCCAGAAAAACGGAAACCTAGGACGCTTTACCTTTTTCCCTTATAGTATTATTAACAGAATTTTTAGGGACCAGGTGCAGCTCCGAAGTAGCTTGGCTGCCTCAAGGTGTTGGTTGAAAGTAATGTGGAGAAGGAATGTCATTTTTGGTCATTAGTATTCAAATTCTGTATTCATTCTTGAAACTTTATTATGTTATATTTCCTTTGTTGCATGGTATTTGGCTATAAAGATAGGTATATGATTTGAAATACCTTACTTTATAAAACCGGTAATTTTAATTTTAATTTTTATCAGTCAAGTCGACTTTATTTGGTGTTAGTAGTTTTGAAATGCTTCTTCAAATCTCAAGAAATGATCTTCCACACTTGAAATGAAACGATTCCTGTATTTTTATGAAATATCAACATTGAATTCACATGGATCAAGGGTGTTGATTTTCACAAATTGCATACTCAAACATATCCTAATTATATTTCACATCATGTGGCGAGAGCATTTGCATATACTTTTGCAAACTTTTTTCCAGGGTTCTACTTTTCATATGGAGAAACTTCGCATGTATCAGTTAAATAGACTGAAATATTACTATGCGATAGTTGAATGCAATGCAAAAGGTAATTGTCTGCATCTTTATTTATTTACAATGTTTACAAACTCTACTTGGATTTGTCATGCTCGCCAAAAGTGTCTCTGCGACCTCTACTCTACTTGGATGTCTCTGCGACCCAATATTCATGTTTGCGACCCTTATTGTTGTCGCTAATGCAAATAGAATGCATGCTATTTTTGTGCTTTTTTCAAGAACACCTGATTTTGTTTCAGAAACTGCAAGCAAGATATACGACGAATGTGATGGTATGGAGTACGAGCTCAGTGCAACTCGGCTAGATCTTCGATTTGTTCCAGACGAAATGACGTTTGAGGATAACCCAACACAAATTGCTACCGAGATGCCCATGCTGAGTAATTATCAGCCAACAAAGTAGGCTTTCTTTTATATTTTCTATTTTTCAGATAGATTTTTACCTCTCAGCCGTAGCGAATTTTACTATTCTTTATCACATAGCTACTAAAACCTGGATGGTTGAAATATTTGGAAATTTGCTCTAATGCAGAGTTAAGCAGATAAAATGACTCAATTTACATACCCGGAGAAATTACAACATTAATAACTATTGCTTTGTGGAATTTTAAATCTCAAATTTTTACCGCTAGGTAGTGTGAATGAAAAATATAGGTTTAAATTTCAAAATCAAAACTAATAATCCTAATTTGCCAATGAAGGGTGTAAAATTGTCCATCTATCGTATTTGGCTTCCTTGTTGTATTCGTTTCTGCATATCTTTGTGATGGATTTGAAAGGAACGGCAGAAAAATAAAGTTTTGCTTATTTGGTAAACAAACAGCGTTACCTGTTTGTGAATAGTAATCTTCGTTGTTTTTTCTCATTTAAAGCATCAAAAAATGGTACCAACCAAGAAAATGTTTATTTAAGCACGCACCACCAATCAATTAAGTTATGTTTGTAACCCAGAGTATGTCGACCCCTCCACCCCCCTCCCACCACCTTAATCAAAGCACTCCCCCCTCCCACCACCTTAATCAAAGCACTCCCCCCCTCCCACCACCTTAATCAAAGCAAAACAGGGTAAGTTGCATGTATGGCAAGGATTTTTTATGGCTTGACGAGCCGAAATTCCTAAATGCGATACTTGAGAGCTTACACCATTTTCTTGCTTTCAATATGTTTGGAAGTTAGTAAAGCACAAGAGGAAAGTAACCTCTCTTCTGTGGAGATTTGCATAAGATGATATTTCTTGTAAATTGATATTTTAAAGTATTTAATCGCCTGTCAAAATCTCATAGGAAAACACTGTTGAAAAGGGGTGTTTTTCTATGTTATGTAAAGTTTATCCAGGTTCCACATTTTTCAGACTCATTTCCCAGTTTCCTGCCCCCTATTTTTAATGTGGTATGCAGCCCCCGTTACTATCTAGCTTTGTAAGCAACATTCTATATCATCATACTCTATATCATACTAGGTTTCCCTGATCATATTCCTTGAGCACAGTATGGGTGGCCTGCTTGCAGACTCTTGGAAGAGTGAGATAGTACCCTCTAAGGCGATTTTCTTGAACATTCTTCTTGGGGGATATCTTGTCTTTGCCACGTGGATTTAAGGATTTAAGAAGACTCTGCTGATAGGCTGCGAGACTCCCTTATGCTTTCCATCAATCTACCTATCTCCCTTCTGCTGTCGGTAGAGTTAGCCTACGCCCAGACTAATTATCGAAAAGCCATATTTCGTCCTTTAAATACACATTTTGTAACTTGAAATCTTATCTGATACTGTAATATCTCATATTGATAACTGTCAAATGAGCCCCCTCCCCAATAAGCCCCCTTGAACAAGCCCTCATGTTGAAATTTCCTGGGCTTTTTTGAGAATTTACAGGATGCACGCACAACTTTTAATTTCAGTCAGCTGTTATCGCGTAGAATCTTTGGAAGCATTTGAGTAGGCCCTGAGGTTTAAAATTTTTAATAGTTTTAGCAATACAGCACTTCAGCAAAGCACAGTTCGACTGACGTGGGATGAGACAGATCAAAAACGTCTACAGATGACAATGCGGAAATTTGATAAAGATGAGTTAATGGATATGGACTTCAAAGCATACTTAGCCTCGTCGTCAGAAGATGAGAATGATGAGAAGGAGGCAACAGTGGAAGAAAATGCGAACGTTAATGACTCAGCGAAAAACGAAGAAGAAGATAAAATCAAGAAATATAGGGTGAGAAAATTTTACGACAATTTTGGTAGTGCTTTCTTTGAAGCTTTGATATAGACAGGCTAATTGTGTTCATGTTACCGATCCTTATTACTGGGCTAATATGGTTCAGATGCTGTCCCATCTTCAGCCTCGCGTCATTATCACAATCATAACCATCACCTTAACCACCACGATCACAGTCAGTCATCATCCTCATCAACATAGCTGCATTTATATTGTGCAACAGTCAATTTTTACATTCGATTATCCCTGCTGTTTTTGTAGGATCTTCTTAAGGATATCGAGTCAAAAGAAAAGAAGGACGATGGAGAGCGACATATGGAAATTTCGTGGACTCCAGCTCTGAGTGAAGCAACAGAACAGATTGTGAAAGATAAGATCGAGAAGGAACAGGAAAAGGCAATGACACCATGGGAAAAATATCAAAAAGATAAGAAAAAGAAGACAAAAGCGAACAAAAAAACTGCCAAAACGTAAGTGCTCATCTCATGTCGCGTTCATGTCATATTTCTCGGGTAGCTGGATGGCTTTGTAACCGTGAGCCTCAAATAACTTTTGCCATATTCCCCCCTCAATTTATTAGCTTAACCTATATTTACCTAAGTTACACTTTACCACATTTTCATCTGACTTTCTTAACTTTTTTATGTTTACCACTGCTTGTTGATATTTTAAGATTATTTTCTTCTTTTAGTTTTTTTCAATTGTTAGTTCTTTTGTTATTTTCATTTATTGTGAAAGCTTTTTTAACATGAGGCAGAAATAATTCAGATATAAAACAGCTGATTTAATGCAGGGGAAATATTTTATATTTGCTAGTAAAAAAGTCATTCAAAAGTAAATTTAAATTACAGTTATATACAGTGGTTTAATTGTTCTTTTACATTTATATTCCAACATTTTTAGATAGAATTGACGCCACTACGCCGAGATACCTCGGTCAAAAAGCGCAACTTTTATACGAGGCTCAGCAGTTTTTTGTAGAAAAACAGAAACAGATCAATATCTGGTCCGGACTCTTTCTTAAATATTGATTTGGAAATTACAACATACATAACATTTGCAGATGGAAGGAGACCGTTGCTAAAAATAGCAATCTATAATTTCTGAGGATTATTCTGAAGAAAGACTGTTTTGTTTAGGATATTTTTGCTTAAGCAAAACTGTGAGCTCAATATTTTTAGACTAGGTATTCGCTTATCATTGGATGTGAGGCGTTAGGGTGTTTTTTGCAAGTTTTTTGTATCGGTTTCTCACTGTACGAGCGCAAAGTCCCAAAATGACAGGTTTATAACAGCTGTTTTTAGCATTACGTTTTCCCGTATCAAAAGCGGTGTTATTTTATTCAAGTGGTAACAAAATTCGCTTTATCCATCCAAGCGGTCCAGTAGTGACGTCATCAATGGTTTCCTAATATGTGACACTTGATAGATATGGATTCAAATTTCAAACTTGTTTATAGAGGCTTCAGGTCGATTACTGATTGGCTCCTATGTAAATGTGGGAAAGGTTTTGTGCTAGGGGATGATTTGTTTGTAAGAAATAACGCATTCGGGGGATCCCACGTATCGCTAATTTTGAAACGAAGCAACATTTTTAGTTCATTTGCAGGAATGCAGAGTGAAATTTATCTCAATGAACTCACTGGGTTGCTTTGTGTTGCCTGTTGACTGCGGTGGCCATGAAAGGAGTAGCCAACTTGCATTTGTTGCTTCTCTACGAAGGCGGCCATTTTACAGATTGATCTTTTTTCTTAGCTTTTAAAATCAAAAATACAATTCTAGTTGTTTCTGTTATTGTGGTTAATAGCCACAATCATTGTTGAGTCTTCGCTAAAAGAAAAATTATCGAGAGTATTTGCACGTTTTGTCTTCATTAACACAACATCTGTCTACTTCACAGAGGAAAAGCAAGGTGGTTGGCCCTAAGAGGCAGGCTTTGCAGTCATTCTCGTCATTCATTTAAATGAAGATGCATGCATTTCCTATTCTATGCACATCATTACTGTGTGCGTTTAAATGAGGGTTTTAATGAGCACGAAACCAGACATCAAAAAACTATATTTGCCATAATGCCAGACGTTCTTTAGCTGATTTCGAGAAAACACCACAAGATACAAATTTCGCTCATAAAATTTAATCCGTCACTGTTAATTTTTCCATTAGATTTAAACCTCATTAATTTTGTATCATTTATCAAACCCTGTGTTCGCGAAAAAAATGCGAATTCATTCGAGCCTGTCGAGCAGCCCTGATACGTTTGTCGTTTCATTCTTGGAGATTTTATTGGCTTTACGGAAATGAATAGGTTTCCAGTTTCCTAGAAATTCGCTTATTTTCTCATTTTAAAGTAATCTTCAAAATTATTTATTTATCTATTAGCAAAGCATAAATGGCTTTCCTATCTTTAATCTTCGCATTTACATCCTTGCCAGTGTTATCATTGGATTTTACTTGTCTTTCAATACCTTCTCTCAAGTTACAATATTTCAAGCAGCAGACATTGGTCGAAACCATGTGACTTGTTGAGTAGCGACATTCATATTTCTAGAAACAAAAGCCGGGGACGCTTGCCGGACTAGAAGACGGGAGGCAAAAATTAACTTTAACGCCAATTGTTTCTTTAAAAAAGCGATCAAAACTCTCTCTGGTGTTAAGAAAAATAGCAGTTTATGTACATCAGATTTTCTATTGTCATTACCACTTTTTCAAACAATACATTTGTACCAACACTGTTAATGGAAAAAGATAAATTTTTTTCCTTGCTCCCATTGAGCAGATACTGAGGGCGATCACCCACAATGCCTTGATAAAACCTTTGATTCATAAGAATCTGATAAAAAACTCTGATGACAACTATTAGTTTTAATCCCCTACACATAAAATTATTTCTTTTGAATCTACCCATTTTCATTTTCAGCTTGGATGGAGAAGAACGTTCTGAAGAAGCAAATGAAGATGCGAGTGAAAAAGAAGAATACATTCCGACTGGTGCCGACGACCCGTTTTTTGTCCATGGTGATGGAGAAGACACGAAAGCCTCAACGAAGAAGAAAAGAAAAAATAGAAGCAAAAAGAATGAAGATCAAAGTAGAGAAAACGAAGCTGGCAACAGTCATGGAAAGGTTATTGCAATGTGTTTTCTTATTCACATTTCTTGTTCTCAATACTGAAGCACCAAACCGATTTTACAATTGACTCTACCTGGTGCGATGTTTTCAAAATTGGCCTTTTCATATTACAATAATTTTTCATGACACGATTGTTTTAGTTTACAAAGCCAAAGGAAAAATTTATTTTCATATGTTTCTAAATGATGTTGGTTGAAGACCTTCTTCATTCTCCTTTAGATTTCCTTTTTAATCAATTTTTTATCACAAACTTCAGTAATAAACATATATTCGATTTCTACTGCATTTTTTCGTAAGAACTTCCATGATAAGGCTGTATTTATCTCTATCTACTTTTTTTAAGCTGGATTTCCAGCCACAGCCCTTCCCATCCCATTAGATTGGTCCACCTTCTGCGTAACTATTGGATTTATGCGCCAACTTTAAACAGTCACTCTTAGAACTTTTATTAAAGTAAGTGGCGACAGCTAATCCGATAACTTCTCTCTGCTGGAATTAATTAATGGCTCAATGAATATGTTACTCGTTTGTTAAAAAAGCTTGCTTCTTGCTCTGTCGACCTTTGCAAAAATTGATCGCGTAGTTGAATTCATCTATTTTGTAACTAAATCTTATTTACGCTATCCACAGAGTGAGCTGGAATTATTAATTATGGATGAAAATGACGACAAGCAGCATTTCAGCATGAAACAAATAATTGAAAACGAGGCAAGAAAAAAGAAACGAAAGCGAGGAAAGAAAAAGGAAGCGGAGCAAGCAACAGTTGATAATTTCGAAATCGATGTGAAAGACTCTCGTTTCAATGCTCTTTTCAATTCACCCGATTATATTCTGGATCCTTCTGATCCACAATTCAAGTATGGTTTGATAAAATTTGTTTTCAATACGTTCAATTTTGTTAATAACTTGCAAGTTTAGTATTTGATGTTGTTGTTTACACATAAACAGCAGCAGGACTTGAATTTTTTTCGTCTTGGCAGAGATTTTTCTTCTTGGCAGCAAAATTTAAAAGTCAAAATTCCTGAGAAACCTTGACAAGATTTCCTGCAACTGCGAGTTATTTTCTGCATCTGCAAGTGGTTGTCTGCAATCATTAAAGTATTTGTCCTGTTAAGAGTCATCCTACCAAATAATTGAGTGTCAGTTTTGTCAGTTCTGTCTTTATTCAGTTGAACATGGCTATAGTGGGTTGGTCATGAATATTTTGACTCGCATAAAACTTTTATGCAATCGTACGTCATTTGATATAAACTGTATAAGGTCAACAAGGGAAACCTAACTAAACACAAAAATCATTGCTCTTTTTAAGAGTGAATGTTGATAATCTGAAAACATAGAGTTTATAAGATTTTCGATTTAATTTCATATTATTGCCAGCAATCATTTTGTATCAGAAGAAATAAGTGTTAAAAAAGGAAAAACATAAATTTGAAAATCATATTAACGAACAGCAATTGAGATTTCACATAAAAAATCTCCTGTCAAGCGGAATTACTGTTAAAACTTCCCTGGCAGCGCTGCCAGAGACTTTAAGGTCCTGCTCATCTTTGCTTCAATGAATGTGAACATGTATACTGTATTTTGTTTCCTATTTTGTTTGTCTTTATGCCCATATTATTTTCCTGCCTGTGCTCTTTATATGTCCTCCCCCCTTAATTTGCATCTCTTTTGCTACATATGTTTTATTACGTCACAAGTCCCTAATGAAGGTATCTTTAGAACAGTAAATTACAATGATCTTCCATTCTGTTACCAGAGTGTTCGCTTGCTGTCGTATTTAAAATATATCGTAAGTTCCTTTTGCCTGCGATGATAACAATTTTGATTATTTAATAATTTCCCCCTTTTTGTAGGAAAACCAAAGCAATGGAAAAACTAATTCAAGAGAAACAGAAGAGAAGAAAAGAAACGACAAAAATAGCCACAGGCTAGTCAACCTTCCCCTTTCTTCTCCTTTTCCCACTGCTACAATTTTTCAAACATTCATTATTTTCGAAATTTGCCCTCCCTGCTCCTACGTTGCTGTCTGTTTTCCTTTTTTGACCAATAGCAGTCTGTCTTTTACTAATTTATGAAGTGATGAGGAGTAATTTCAACCACACCTAGTGATCGCCGTTCAAATGTGCATTTATAGTTGAGATGCGTTTCCTGCGCAGTCCGTCCTGTGCGCAAGTCGCATGGTTTAGGAGTAGTGACAGCAGGAAAATGGTGTTATTTGATAAAGTGCCACTGTAAAGAAAACTTAAGAATTGAAATCAAATCCTATCTTACCCTGTGGATCCAACAGCGCAGAAATTAATGATCATTCGTTCTTGGGGATTCTTTGTGTGTGTTTCCTCTGTGAGCTATGGTATTGAGATCCTCGCGTCTTTTTGCACGCTGAATTTAGGATTCTGTGACGTAAGAAAGTTTACAAGTGGCGGAAGTAAATGTAGACTTCATCAGTTTACTAAGGTAAAGTTGGCTCTGTACTTCTGCGAAGGAAGAGCGAGCAAAGACGGTATATTTCGGGAAGTAATGTTGATAACCGCATAGGTTGTGTTATCACACACTGCACTTACATTAGATGTGCGTAAGCAAGTTCCTAGCGACTATGAAGGAATGCTCGTTATTAGTCGTAGTTCCTTTACGGGCAAAGCACAGATCTGCTTTGTATTTTCTTTCACCCTCTTCATATTCCCTGTTTATATTCTCTTTATTTGGTACCATTCGATAGCTTTATATAAAGCTTGTGCTTCTGTAACCCAATCACTTCACAAAAATCCATCAAATTCAAATCAATACAGTCTACCCTCTAACGCCATTGAAGAGTGGAAGAAAGTAAAAGAGCTCTTTCTAAATGCATCATTTTGAGGACGCAGCACTGTATATGGTTTTGGCGATACTTGGTTGAGTTTCGTTTTATTGATATTTTATAATACACTGATTTTCTCTGCATTATGATATAATTACTTAGCTACACAGAAAGTTATTAAAATCATATTCTCGTTTTGAAGTTTTGTTCTATTTCACCTTTCTCAAGACGATTTTGAAGCAATAAATTACCTGTTCTATATTAAATCTTTAGGTGGCAGTGAGGCAAGCTCATCCAAGCAAAACAAATTGGACCCAAGGTGCTTTTTTATTTCATTTTGGGGTTTTTTTTCAATATTTGCCTTATAAATTGCTTCGAATAGTCGTAAGATTTTGTTTATATAGATAGAGTGGAGATCAATAATGCCCTTTTGATTAACACTAGATTTTAAAGCTCTTTAGACAGTAATCTTATTTTGTTGCTTTCAGCTGTATATGTACTTTGCAAAGGTGTTTCATGTATAAAGAAATGCATTTGAGTATTGTAAGTCAAAAGATTCTCATTTGCAGGATGAGTACCCTAACACCCTGACTAAGTTGTGCTTGTGCTGTCATTGTGTTATGCTTTGTTTCTGCACCCACACTGTGGTATCTACTTTAGCAAAACCTAAATTTATAAAATGTTTACTTCGCCCATGCAAATATGGGGTGTAATCATGAAATTTTGAAGATCTTTCAATTTGCTGGTATAAAGGACTCGTATGTTTATATTCTTTATTTCAAGGATAAATTTCAGTAACTTTTATAAATTTTTATGGTTCAAAATAGTGCTTGGTGTTTTCACCTTGAATTGATTTTTGCAATGCAAAATTTGATATTTCTTTTCAGTCTATCATTCCTGATTAAAAACGTCAAAACACGAACTGAAGAACTTATGCAGAGGAAAAAAGCAAAAAGTTGAATTAAGAATTATTTTTGTTTATTGATTGATTCAGTCGTTAAATAAATTTCGATATAAGAAAACATGAGCTGTGGTGCTGATGCATTGTCTCTGTCTTGCATTGCCCTGTCGACTGATTGATGTGGTATTGTAGAATATATTGTACTGTCATTTTTTATAACAAGCCAAAGCGAGTATCCGAGTCTTTTTACGCTTTAGTAAATTTCAGTACTCAATGCTTCTTAAAAGATTCTTCATGATGATGTCATGTAATTTAAATTTTGGGTTCCTACATTTGATAAATCATCCTGAGACCTTTTCGCAGCTGCAAACAAAGACAATTTTGTGTTTTTCTATTGTTTTCAAATGCTCGTGGCCGAGGGGCAAATCACTGCTTAAAATCACGTACGATCTCAAAAATAATCACACTTTAATCACAAATTAATCACATTAATAACAAAATCAAACTAATCACAAAGTATAACATTAATCACAACAATTAACTAAAAACAAATATTAGAATCCTTGCCCACTTTTATCCGGATATGTTATTGAAAAATTCAATATTTAGAATTTCCCTTTCACGCTTTTCCAATCTTTTCATGAGAACGTTGGAAATTCTGCAAACACACGCTCGAGAACAACAATTTTTTGTAAGTACCCTCCAATGGAGCAAAAATGAAGGCCTCCTTATGATGCCGGGGTCACTGAAACAACCATAGCTGTTTTTGTTGCCCAAATGCCCCTGAAATTGATCTGACCGAAAACCACGCCTCATAGCAGTCATTTTTCACCCATTGCTATAGGGGCGGATCCAGAAAGTTTCAGGAATGACAGTTTAATTTCCCAATAGCGACATCACTTGCGAGGGCAGAGAACAGGGCACATGCATTTGTCTTAATTCACAAGGTGTTCAACAATTTTTGACTGTTTTTTTCATTCCAGGCTATTTGGATCCATGTTGCTAATGCTATTGTTCAGGAAAGATAGCTTTTTTGATGCATATTCAAATTCTTATGACGAAAGTAGCCGCCCACAGAACAGAAAACATGCATTTGCCTTGATGTCTTTTACAAGGTGTTCAACAACTATTCACTGTTTTTCATTTAAGGCTATTTGCTTCCATGTTGCTAATACTAATGTTCAGGAAAGATAGCTCTTTTGATGCAAATTCTAATTCTTATGACGAAACTTGACGGCCCACAGAAAACAGCACATGCATTTGTCTTAATGTCTCATTCAAAGTGATCAACAACTTTTTACTGTTTTCACTTCAAGCTACTGTCACCAACCTATAATACTGATTTAATATTTTGCTTATGCTGCTGTTCAGAAAAGATATCTTTGTTTTAAGGTGTTAATGTTATTAAACTTTTGCACCTTTCTCGTTTGCAAATCTGCAAGAGTCCAAGATTTTTCTGGATCCACCCCTGAACTGAACTGCTAATTTTTCTTTGTCAATTTCATAAAATATGTTGCAAAACCGTTGACGACGTTTATTGAGCATGAAATTATTTGAGAGCACTTTGAATCTACGATTCAGTTTCTAAAGAAGAAAGAATTAATAAAAAAATTAATCATTTTTATCACTAAAAATCAAATTAATCGCACACAAAATTGATTTAATCAAAAATTAATCACTAGTGATTATTAATCTCGTACACCATTTTCAGGAGTGATTTGTCCCTCGCTCGTGGCATTCTGTTAAGACCCTCGCTTCCGTTCTAATGCTTTACTAAAATGACGAGAGAATATTTTTGCACTTTATTCAAACTTTTATGCCAATCATGGGTGTTCATAATACTTTTTAGTTTTGCGGTTATAGTTCAAAATTTAATGGTTTCCTAATTTTTCTGAATGTCTAATACTAAATTCTAAAAGCAGAGTTATTAATAAAAGTATAAGTGAATTATGTAATTTAATTGGTGTATCCGAAGCAATAGAGCGTCTTGAAATGTTTGCCTAAAGCTTCAATCTATAAATGAATGCAAGCAATACTTAGGCCAACAAGTTCCAGCCAACCACCTTATGCCGCAGGTGTCAAACACAGTCAACAAATGCTCGAAATTGCGGATTCCCAACCGCTATAACGATTGTAATTTGTCAAGATGTTTATTATTAATTCATTGCAATCTATCATTCGCCAAACTTAATGTATGAATTTTGTGCAGATTTCAGTAGCCAGTTGCTTTTGCTTGTTTGCTTACAACCAATCGACCTAAAAAAATCTACTTGAAATGTTCCCAACCTTGTCAACGACACGATTTGTAGGCTATGTTGATAATTACTGTCTTATCTTGACGCCGTGTTTTCTCTAAAGGAAGCAGGCCGTATATCTTTGTACCAGCCGGGCTTGGGTTCGTATTCTGCACTTTGCATTGTTTCATTATATATTTCTGCTTCCATTTGTCGTAACTTTGTAAATAAGACACGATGTCTAGTCTTGTAACTTTGTAAATGAGCTTTCTACACCATGTCTGGAAAGGAAAACTGTTTAAACACACAGAACTTGTCTAGCAAGAGACTATTCAAACGTCATTGTTATCTCAATGTGCTTGCTTATTTTGGAAGCACGTGTAGCACACCCTTTTCTCTCTGGGAAATTTAATTTTGTAAATTCTCCAGATAAGCCAAAGTTCTCGCATTTTTTCTGGATTGCATTTGAATTTTTCGATTGCTACTTTTCTTATCAAAGACTGATTCCAATCAGTTGGTCTACACTTAGTTGCGGTCCAAAATCAATCAACTGCTGTTTCAGAGTTCAGAAGATAAAATTTGACGTCTAAAATGATAATATGAGCTATATTGGATAGTATGCCTATTTGAATTCTAATACGTATAGCCTATACTTAATATTTTATGGTGGAAAATTAAATTGTTTGTAATGTTTTGTCTAGAAATTACAGAAATTTTTGACCTTGTGTATTTTTCTCTTTCTTCTATTAAATGTGTATTTATTTCGTGGTTATGTCTTCTCGGATATTATAATATCAGAGCGTCATCTCTATGACATCGATTGCGTCGCATGTGATTTACAAACTACCGTACCTTACCAGTTGTTTACTTTAAGCTTCTATATTGACGAGGTGATCATCGCTGTGATCGTCTTGGTTGTAAGTTTATGCATTTGATTAAGATCAGTACGTTATACGCTTGGAGTTGTACGGATAAGTCTTTGTTAATCAACCCTGAAGATGACCCTTATTTACACTTTTCAAGAATCTTTTATCTGCTTCATAATCTTCGCAATGTAGCTAATAACAGCTTGATTCATACTTTTTCCTTTAATACTTCTATTTTTGGTGCTAGTTTTTGCTGTTTCATGCAATTTGAGAGAATTGGTTCTGTAGAAATAACACTTTTCAGTTAGTTATGGTAGCAAGCTCTACAACCAGCATTGCTATAGGGGCGAGGGGTGCTGTGTCAGCACTTTGTTTCAAATCTGCTAACTTTTTAAATAAACCTTTAAGCCCCAGGGCGTCCCAACGAGTTTGGATAACGAATTGTAGTAGCCATGCATCTTACAGTATCTAGGCTCAAATCCAAACCTCTATCGAAACAAGTCTATTGTAAATGTGTACCGAAGTTCTCCAACAACAATTTCTGTAACCATTCTCTAAAATCCAGAGACAAAATCCTGAGAAAGAGGCTTTACTATAATGATATTTTCACCACCAAGATTTATGCAATGTCAAATGCGTCTAGGTATATCATGCAAAACAATTGTCCATAACAATGCCAACCAGAACTAATTTGAAAGTTTTGATGGTATTTTCATACTTTCCTTTCCAAAACCTTACTTCTTCCGATCCTCCGTCCCCCAGAGCAATGGACTGCGGAAAAGAGCTGGCTGAGCTGGGCTGGCGTATCTTAAGCCAACCCCTAACTCAATAATTTACAATACTGTACTTCAAAAAAACACAGAATATCTTGATTTTAGTTTTTTGCATGTTTAACCCCTCCTCCAAAGCTTTTTAGTTCCTTATCCAATCCGTAATATGCTCTACTGTCCCTGCCCAGAGCAGTGCTGATATTAAACATAAAATTCCCATAAACAATAAATTCCCTAAATCCCTATGTAATTATGTTGTAATCCAGCATTGTTTCAAGAAGGAGAGCGAAATTGCTTTTGAAAACTGACGCTAGTATTCAAAAATCTCAGAATCACCAAGTTTCATCTTTGATTTTCTCACTTCTGGATCAGAGTGGGTCAAATCACTCGCCAATATTTGACCAAACTTTGTTTTCGCACTGGCCAATCCAGAACAGTCACGTCGACAGCTAAAGTCCACTTTGTGCAGGTGTATGAATCAATCAGACTAGATTTTAGTTTGATTGTTAGCTCTTTATGAAAAAGTGATCAACTTTGTTTACAGTTTTGATGCCCTTTCAGTCAATTTGTACCGACTACCAGCCGTTGTTATTAATCAAAGTCAGTGAAAATCTCTGATAACTAGAAAACTACCTGTTTTTTTTTTTCTTTTCACTTAGCAATGAATCGCGGATAGCACTTCAAAACACAGTTATTTTCGGAAGTTTTTTAGACTTACATTTGAGTAACGAAGTGACATTGATATGTCAAATCATACTGCACAACACGAAATATCAATGTAAAAAGTACATATCATAATCAAATCGAAATTGGTAACATTCTAAGAATTCTTTATTTTAGAATCTCACTGTTTATTGTTCATTGTGTACTGTACACCATAGTCAGTGGATCCAAAAAGGCCAACAGAGAAAAGAACAAAGTAAAAATAAATAAAGGAGCTTAATTATTTGATACGAATTTATCTTTGAAATTTTTTAACATAAATAATTCGTGCTATAAATCATTAAAGGCAGAGATAATGCCTCTCTTTTGACGAAGAAGAAAATTAAGAGAAGACTGCAGCTGTAAATGTATTAGCAGTTACTTCTGTACTTTAGAATGATACTGTAGCTATCAAAATACTTGTGTAAACACACTAAAATGCAACTTTCTTCATTTTGGATCATTTGAAGTTGCAACAGACTGCTCATTGAGTCCTTCTTTTTTCCTTATAACAGTAAGGATTATCCAAATCAATGTTCACTTTCTTTGTCACGTGCAAATGAAATA